CTTGAATCCCCATAGCGAGCGAGGCTGCCGTGTGCGTTGCAGCCCAATTCGTTGTAGTTTGCTCATTTCCCTTGCCCCGGAGAGGCCGAGCTAAGTCTCTCACACGACGGTCACCACAATGGAATGTTTGACTGGTTCTTCGTTTTTTTTACTTAAACGCGCGGGAGGAAACCATAATGGCCAAACCACCCCCCACCCCCGCTTCAAACGTCGACTATAAGGATTGTGCAGCAAAACCTACTTGCTATGCTTCCCCATACGAAGACACTGCCGGCTTTTGCCTTGCAGGTGGATATCCCAAGCAGCCTCCTTCATTCTAGATTTGAAGTTTTCGTGACTGCGGAGATCCATCAATACTCTTTGGTTCTTTCGGTAAAGTCACGTAGGTAGAAAATAAAATAAATTAAGTCACGACGTTTCGGGCGCAACACAAGCGTCCGTCATCAGGTGGGACAACCACAACAAGAAACAATTGCTGAAGTGGGCAAAAGGGCTGCTGTAACAAGAGGCTGTATAGGTAAGAGAGGGGGGAGGAGCAAGGGGGGAGAGATAGAGAGGGGGGGGGGGACTCACCAGCCCCACCGCCAAGCCGATTAGCAAGGGTTTGTCACGTAAAAGGGGCGTATGTAATTTGTGACTGTATTCGGCATTAAGGAAAATATCTGTCTGACATTATCACACGAGAGTCATAGCCTCAGCTGAGCCACCGACCCGAACCAAGCAAGCTGAAGGAAAGCCGCTGGACTGGCATTTCTCAGAAGCGGCAAGGACGAGGCCGCGAATACGTGAATGTCAAAGACGTTCAGAGCGAGCGTTTTTTATATCACCCGAGTTCCAAGTGGATTAAGCGAGTTTATCTCGAATAATTTCAGACTTGATTTAATACGCAGCGTGTGGACAAAAAAAGCACAGCTTTAGATTATTCCACGGCGAACCCCGCGACACGTAAAACACCCAAGTTAAATTCCTTATCCTAAATCCCCTCTTGGTCCCAACGGCAGCGAGAGAGAGCGCGGAGCAGCATCCACCCCACCGGCACCAAACCCAATGGGGTCGCTCCTGGCAGGCCCCCAAGAGAACCCTCTTCCTGTTCCCATTGTATTCAGATCAACAAGAGGCTGTAAAGTTGCCCTTTGTCTCCACGTGTTGAATCCCAATCCCCGCCTCGCTCTCCGAGTAGGCACCTGGGAATGCTGCTATGTACTCTCATCAATTCAACTTACTCGAACTACACATTGTGGAACGGGAAAGAAGCGGCGACGGTTGAACGGACACGCACGCGTATTTTAATTTATGAATACAGCAGTGGAACTCCCGGACCATCTTGCCACAACTGTGGTCGCGCGTCTAGCTGAGTGAAACTAATCCTCAAAAATGCATGTTCTCAAAAGGGGTAAAATACAATTAATTAGAATCTACAGCCCTTTTGTCAATAAACTGCTAGATTTTTCGCCATGTTTCTCTACGCTGGTCAGTGTGGATTGGTGGAAAAGCTCAAAACTTGTTCATTGATGTGAGTCGGGCCCGGGAAACGAACTCAGGTGGTCGGGCTCACAGCACCACTGCTCCACCGGCAAAAGGGATAGCGAGGCTTTATTTATGGGGCTTCAACGTGTCCCATTTTTTTTCCATTCGGGGCACCGAACACACATTCTCGCTACATATTTGAAGACGACGAGGACAAATGTGCTCATTACCTAAGTCAAATTGAAATTCTCAGAAAATAATAAGCCTCGAGAATTGGCTCTGTTCGGTATTTAAAGGCTGAGAGTGGGGTTTTTTTGGCAGATTATCCAACAAGAGCGACGTCACAAACTTTTTAGACGGAGCCGAACCTCCCGCTGGTGGTGCCAAAGTCAAATTCGGTGAGGCTCAACAATTCACTTACGTAACCTATATCGCAAATTGTGTTTTTCCTCTCTCGCCACCCACCGTGTACCACTGCGTGAATTCCATGACCCAAAAGTCAAATGTACAGTTTAATAGCTTTTTGTAATTTATACTGTAATTTACATAACAAACTTTTCTGCAGCTCCTCGGCTACATGGCGCACATCAAAACGGCAGTGCAGAAAAATACAATTGGTGTGCACTACTACATGTTATTCTCTCACGTCGATGCTCACCACCATCACCAACCCCGCACTAATGGGCATGGTGATTTATGGTAAAATAACAACCAAGGTTCTCCTAATCCAGCAGTAGATTATCCATTCGCGAGCCCTTGCACGGTGGGAACAGGGTTCGCGAGAAATCATGACTCCAAAAATGACGCCGATAATTGCATTTTTTTTTATTGTGGGAGGGTAAAAATGTTACAAAACAAGCGTTTAAAATGCTGCAAAGCTGTGCTTACGTTTACAACAAATCGCATGTTCTGGGATTAACAACGATAGTGGTCGTATCGTCGATCCGTGTGAAATGATAAAACCGGCTGTGTCCAGGGCAAGACCAACCCCAGTGATTCTAGCTCGCAGGGCGGCAGTCACACCGCGAACATCCCGCGTGACGAGGTGTCGTGCGATTTCAGGTATTCTTGGCGTTCTGTATAAATACATTGTAGTTTAGACCGCACCCGATGGCCCAAAGTGATCAAACGTGCAATGGAGCATTCCAATGGGACCTCGAGGTTGGAGGGACATCATTTGACAGGCGGCACAGTGGTTATGGTTCGCATTGGCTGTTTGTAAGGTGGCCGGGCCTCTGCTGCAGATGGTTGTAATTGAGCAGGCGTGAAGGATCCATTTATGCAGGTGGCCCATTGGCCGAGATATGAGAGGCGGCTGCACAGATTGAGTACAGAGGGTTGTTATTCTCCTGTCACCGCGACCTCCTCTCAGATCTGCCGTTTACACTTCGTGGCACATGCCTCAACCTGCTCGTCGTTCCTCAATCACGAGACCGCCGCTGCCGACCCTTCCCCACGGTGGCTGCGTCCGTCTGGAACGCTGTTCCCCATTCCCACAGGGAGCACTCGGATCTTGATTCACGTTGGGGGAAAAAAGGCAGCTAAAGACGACCCTGTGCTGGCGAGAGATTTAAACAGAGCTGGGCTCCGCGCCTCCCGAGTCGCGCTCAAACCGGTTTGGTTGTTGTCAAAATTGTGCGCGTTATAAATAGACCGTCATTGTGCGGTGGTAAGGCGTTATCTCCCTCGCCTGCTATCCAGGAGCACGTGGGTTCGATCCGGACCCAGGCGTCGCCTCTATAGTCGGAGTCTGCGTGTTCTCTCTCCCCTGGAATTTGTTTGTCTCTCCAGATCCTCCCGATTTGTTTTAGCCTTGCATATTTGGAAACGTGCGTTTTGATTATTTAGCCGCTTTACTATAAATCCCCACGTGATGTTGTAAGCCACATGGGCGAGCTATCAGTTGTTGTCGTGTTGCCTCTGACCCCCCCCCCCGCCCTCATAGCTCAGTGGGTTTAAACCTTGTAAATCAAATAATTTAGTTTTAGGTTGTTATATTCTTGGTTCTTTCGGTAAAGTCACGTAGAAGGGAAATAAGAAAGATTCGGTAAAGTCACGTAGAAGGTAAATCATACAATTTTTATTATTTTATTATTTCCCTTCTACGTGACTTTACCGAAAGAACCAAGAATATGAATCCCTGCAGTCACCAAAGCTTTGAATCTATATTTTTAAGGTTGTTATTATTGTTGAAAGCGGGGTTTGGCTGCAGCTCAGGAGACGCAGCTCAGTGGAAGCGTCGAGGTTGGCCGCTCGCAGGGGCAGCTGCTACTGCCGCTGTGTTGTGGAGGAGAAGAGTCTTGTCTAGTGCAGGGGTCGGCCTACCTGCGACTCCGGGGTCACAGACGGCTCTTTAAGGACTGCTTCGTGACCTTATTTGGTATGGGCCACCCGTCTCGTTATTCACGTGCGTTGTGCCTCTTGAAATATTGAGGTTGGATACTTTTTTTTTAAACCAAATTCGACAAAAATGGATGATTTAAAGTTATTTTGGTTGCCGACCCCGTGGTCTCGTGGCAAGTGGAACCCTCGGGCTGCATGGACTTAACTTACGATATCACCCAAACTGTTATAAAAGGAGGTTTAACACACGTGGAAATGTTTTTTTATCCGTTTGTTATTGCGGCAGCGCTGCAGGCGACGCAGGAGACGGGCAGTGGTCACAAGTTCCTGCTTTTTGGCTGTTGCGGAAGGGCGTTCGATAACAAACTTCGGTCAGTAGGTAGGCCGTCTGATCTAATGCTACAGGTTCTGTTCCAACCCTGTGCTGCGCCGAGAGCTGTGATGGGCGGCGTTCACTGAAGTGGAAAGTGTTCACCGGTGACCGGACCCGAGTGTTTACCGCACGCGTCACCACGTGAACACTTTTCTTCAAGTCACCTTCGTTCTACGTAACAACCATTGTTGCTGTGCCGTGACCGGATGGTTGGTGGCTCAGGCCGGTACGGTCGGTTGTCTTGGATAGCTGAAAGCTTTGTGACCGAGTGTGCATCCCTTGCACCACGAACCCCGGCCACTCGAGTTCGATTCCCGCTCACGGCCAATGCTAGTGATGGTCATTTAAACCGGTCCTGGGCCTCCCCCCTATGTCGACTCAGCCTCAAATAAGTACCTGGTGCGGTTTTTGTAAACGTCGCCGCCGGAGAGACAAAGGCGGGCGGGCGTGGTACTCACCACCCACCACCTCCGTGTGCCGTGCCGGCCTTCATAGCTGCTCGCTAACAGCACTTGCCCCAACAGTCTGTTACAGGCTATACGGGGAGGATCTTTGCCATTGTTTGCATTCGCTGCATTAAGAGTGAGACAGGGTAAGGACCTGTGTAGGTGTGTGCGCGCACGCGTGTGCTCTATTTCACGCGTGCCTGGTGTCTCTGACACGTGCTGGTGTGTAATTCTTTGTTACTTGTTTTGTTTTTCACACCGACAAATTTGGTGTCTTCACATTGTACAGCCTGCAGTAAAGGCCGACACTCCTACCGTGCCCACTCGTGGTCTGTCGGTGGCTCCCGAAAGACACCCCACCACTCGTCACCAAAGTTAAACCCGTTCCGACTTTATAACGTGTAGTGGCGCAAAACCAAAACCGTCACACTCTTCAAACAGGATTACAGAAGCCAACAATAAGATGCGGGCCAGGGTTGGTAAATGTGCACAACTGGCCAAAAACTCCATGTTGAGTGAATGCCCGGCTTAATGGTTAATTGTACAACGCTGTCTTCAAAAACAAGGCCAACGCTACTACGAGTCTTTGTGGAGGGGTTAGGGTAGTGAAGACCACGAAACTTGATCTCGCCTCTGACCAGTTAACTAGGTGCAGGACGCAGTAGCTCATCACCAGGGCCACACTTGTGGCGAGGTTGACTCGAGTCTATCTGTGTGCGGTGACGAATGACTGCGAGGCAGAAACGTGTGCTCTAGGCCCCCCGGTAGATTCACAACTCGAGCTACCGGCGTTGCCACGTCAGTTTTAACTTTTACAAAAATGCAGCCACGCCCTTGCTTGGTCTTTGGCATTCCCCCTCGTGCGTCTCTCGTTCGACAATTCTCGAACGTGGAAACTCGGCGGCCCTGGTTTTGGGCCCACGGCGCACAGCCTGTGCAAATAACTCCCCCGTTCGTGTGTGTCACGTGGGCTGGCGCGTCTCACGCAGCTGAGGTAGGCTACTCGACACTCGGGCAGGCGGCCTGGTGTCACACCCTGCGCAATCACTATCTGAAGTCCCGTGCTCATCCACTCTCTCAATACAAAATAAACAACTGCTGCTACGCACGGCCTGGCGAGCGTGCACAAAACGTACCGAGCTGTGAGCGCAAAACAAGACTCACGTTCGCGTCGAGAAGTGTGCAATAAAAAGAAAACAAGGAGGAATTCACGACCACAGGCAACAGTCGTTGACGTAAGACTTGCACGGTCGATCGTTCTAAAAGGTTAAGACCACTGAAAGAAAGGAGAACTCGCAAAAGTGAACGCAACAGCGAACGAGAACGATTTTAAACGACGACAGTAGCACAGGAACCGTTGCACGTCGTCACAGCACGGTGGGCCCCTTCATGGCACGAGGCAGCGTGGCAGGGCCTGCGGGGACAGCGCGCCTCTTGTCCGTCGAGTTGCCCGCTCCGCGGCAAGCGCCACCCGGAGCCGCTGCGAAGATCGGCTGCGCACGCAGCGGCGACGTGGGCAGTGGCCTCTGGGGCGACTGCGGCAGCGGCCGCTGTGGAGAGTGCGGAAGCTGCTGGGGGCGACCGCCTACGGCAGGCGTGCGAGCTGACGCGACGGGTCCGGGACCCTTCGCCTCCCCCTGGTGCAGGGTGGCAAAGCCAACTGGCTGCAGGGCAGACACCCCTGCATGCTGGAAGCTCTGCTGCTGGTTTTGGCGGCTGTTGGCATAGCTGGCCACCAGCAATGTGATCTCCAGGATCTACGGATGCCAAAGGAAATCGATGCACACGAACGTATTTGCAAGTGCGGTCTTTCACACTGGGTGTATATTTGTCTAAAATACTCACCAATCACGTAAACCTCAACAGACTGCTGACACACTCGTAGTGAACATTATATAGTTGTAAATCATCGTCATTCGCAGCCATGGTAAATCCACTGCTGGAAGGAGCCTGCCACATGCTGTCGGCATCCCACATGGCCCTGCACTGCAACACTCCATCTCACTCCTGCACTCGTGCACATGAGCTGATGTCATCGCTCCTTCTCTATGGTGGTAGTTCACACCTTTGGCTGCCATTCTTTCACCAGCCTCCTCAGCGATCATCCCCCTCAGCGATCATCCCGTTCCAGCGATGTGCCCTTAACTAAATCCCTTCATGGTCAATGTGAACATTTTGAATTTACGTATATCACGACTCATTACAAATTTGTTATGTTATAATACATTATTATTTGTTATTCTGCACCACTATCAGCACATATATTAAAATATATATTTTGGTGCAGAGGCTTCCAAGCCGAGCGCCTGCGTGAGCGAGCAGCATCGTCATGTTTGACGATCCCCAGACGCGGCGGCGATACCTTGGGCGAGGGCATGCGGAAGAGCAACTTGTGCGTGGGCGGTCGGGCTCGCTGAGGTGAGGGGACGTCACCTTGCCGGCACGGAATCGAGGCCGACTCCACGACCAGCATGAAGTCATCGCCGCAGCCTCCGAACGACATCACCGAGCGGTACGGGTACCCGGCCAGCACGCGCTGCATGGAGCCACGGGGATCCACGCCAGGCCACATTGTGTCAGTCCACGTCATTCCGCTTGGAGCTTCACGGTGACGGAAGGCACCAGCGACGCAAAACCATGATCCGACCGTCTGTGCACTACGCGTGTAGGCGTGCATGATATCCTCACGGGTTCCCAACGGTATCCCATGATAAGCAGTGCAACATGACATTCATCCAGGTGTGATGCATAAGCCTCATTAAAACCATTGGTTTTGCACTCAAGTTGGCAAAAGGGTGCCAAATTGCAACTGAACATTCACTCCATTGCAAGCTATGTGGGAAATTTGCTGCCACCAACGGTGGTGGCTACGAGGTCAGTTGAAGGAATCTTGGTAGTAATTCTGTAACATCCACTTCCATGGGCTATTCTCTAATATGAAGGGTTACACTGTTTTGCGCGAGTACCAAACTGGCTCTTCATCTCGTCACACGACACCATTAGGGTAACAAGGATAACATTTCATCGGGAAAGATCCAAATTTCTTTTACAATAGTAAAAGAAAAGTCCACGACATGCAAGCGTACCATAGCGGGTCCCTGCAGGATGCTCACTCCGTCCTCCTTCACTGCCAGCCACACCGCGCCCTCCCCCAGCAGTGACGGTAGCACGGGCTGGAGAGGTGTCACGACACACAGCAAATGATGGAAACTTTCATAAATCTCAATGATATTCTCCGTTGGCATGATCCAACCGTGTTTTTAAAAAAATGAAACCGTCATCAAACCGCAACGGTTTACATAGCACATTTTTACGACGGAAAGCATCTTTTAAAAACAAATAAAATTGCACTGCGTGCCTTGGAAACTTCACAGTGTGGAAATCATCAAATGCCGCCGTGACAAAGGCTGACAGCAAAAAATAATGTCCATCACGAATAAACGTATCCAAAGAGGTACAGTTGAAAATCGTACGTACGTACATGTATGAATCGGGAAGAATTCGGGGGGGTCACTAAAATGAGCCACAGGAAATCAGGGGTGAATCGAGCCAAGCTACGCGCAAGCACCACATCGATGAACCGCCCTCACCTTGGCGCTGAAGAGCGTGGCCCCAAAGAAGGGCCACTTGCGCACCACCGTCAGGAATATACGGGCACAGTCCGGGGCCGAACGCCCATGCAGGCCGCTCCAGCGCGTCGCCAGCGAGTTGCACAGCTGCCTGTACGCGCGCGTGCAGCGCACGGAGGCAGGCGGGATATGAGTCGGTCGCACGGACCATCGGTACAGACGTCCGCGTCGCATGCCACATCTGCCCGCGTGCGTCGTGTCGGTGCGTGAACGAGCGCGTACGCGTGTATACCGGAGCTGCTCGGGACCGGAGCCCGCTCTGTAATGCTGGGGGTAGAATCGGTCGAGAGCCTGTGCCAGCATCTGATTGGTTGCGTGCTGAGGAGGGGAGGAGCTAGCCAGGGCGGACGTGGGCCACTCCAGGTCCCCGTACTCCACCTGGCACTCGCATACAGGATGACCCCATGCCGCGCCCCCACGGCGCCTTTAACGGACTTGTTGAGGCAAGCGGTCTCACAGCCAGCGCCGCAATCTCAACGAACAAACAAAAAAAAAGAGGACGGGAGAGGCATGCGCAATCGCCTCACCTGTGCCATGAGGGCAGCCATCTCCAGGGCGAGGGCCCTGCTGGCGGGGAAGCGTCCGCTCGCCACCTCCACGCTCACCTGGTGCGCGAGCAGCACGCGCTCGCGCTCACTCTCGTCGCGCCACCGCGAGCGGTAGTAGAGCCTGGGCACGCACGGGAAGCGCAGGCAGAGACGAGGAACGGTCGCATTCATTCGGTTCGTACGCTCGCGATATACGCACGGGACGGACAAAATAAGCAGGCAACACAATCCGGAGGGGTAAAAATTAGACGAAAACCAAGAATCATTCGTTGACGTGAATCATAACCCTTGAATCACAAGTGCAAGGTGGCGCTCTTGGCCACTCACAAACTCCCAACACTGCCGAGCTCACACACGCGCGCATACATAGACATGCACACGGACTCACACACGCATGACTCACCCCCCCCCCCCAACAGACTCCCACACAGACTCGCGCACACATAAACAGACTCGCGCACAGAGACTCGCGCGCACGCACACCCACACCCGCAAACAGATTTGCACACACACATACTCCCACGCACACAAAGACTCGCACAGGCACAATCGTGTGGGACAGGTGGGGAGGCCGCCACCTGTTCTTATAGGCGAGTCGGACGGTGCGGGCGGCCTCGTGCGGCCCCGCCTGGTGCCCCTTGAGTGCTTGCTCCCATCGTGAGATCACGTCGCACACCTGCCGCGACACGCCGCACCTGTCAATAGCTCGCCAACGACCCCCCCCCCCCCGCCCCCCAATCGGCTGGCTGCCATTCTTCCCGGCCGAATAGAAAACCCTGCCTTCGGTGGCGGTGGCTCTCAGGGCCGGAGGACCTCGCCCTGGCGGGACGCCCCATCGTTTGTGACGATGAAATTGCCACCTTTACATCACGAGTGAATTACCAGAGGCGTGGACGAAAGAGTGCGCAAAGACCGAGGGGGGGTTCAGGGGTGCAGTGGGCACCTTTGACCGAGGGGGGTGCATGGGTGCAGTGGGCACCTTGACGGCGGCGTGCAGGCAGTGCAGGGTGCTGTGGCCAGACGGGTCGTCGATGTAGAGCGCGAACCCCGAGAGTCGCGAGTGCCGCACCCCGACGGCCGTCGCCAGCGTCGCCTCGAACTCCTCCACCGTCGAGGAGCCATCGAAGCCCACCACCTGCGGTGGGCGGCGCGTGGTCAGCGCCGCACAACCGGTGGAACGCGTGGCCGGGCGGCGGCGCACGCCTGCGATCGGGTGCTTTCGAGGAAAGGGTTGGGTGGATCATGCAGGGGATTGCGAAACACCCAAATCCCTCCAGCGCTGTCCTCCAGACAGTCTCGTCCCTTCACCTGATGAAGGCCGCTTGTGTTGTGGCAGAAACGTCGTGAGAATATTATTGTGTTATTTTATCAATTTATTATTTTATTCTCATTCTACGTGACTTTACCGAAAGAACCAAAGAAGATGAATCCTTGCAGTCACGAAAGCTTTAAATCGAAATCCAATTAACCTCGTTCACTGGAGTGGACATTTGCAAGGTATGCAGCAGAGTGAGACAAGACAAGAGAGCCAGGAGAGTTAGGAGGGTGTGCGCGGCGGGGAGTTGAGCGAGACGGGAGGAGAGAGGTAGGGGAGCGTGTGGAGGGGAGCAGAGCGAGCACGTGCCCCCCCGGGTAGAGCGTTCCACCTGGTAGGCGCCGCTGGCGAGGTGCACGGGAATGCTGAAGGGCAGCGAGTGGTGGAAGGGGTTGCGCAGCAGCAGGGAGAGAATCTCGACGCGCGAGGGGCGAGCCACCCGGTCGCCCGCGCGCAGCGTCCGTTCCACGCACCGCCCGCAGTACACCGCGTACTTGCCCACCTCTGACCTGCAAAGACAAAAGATCCCCACTGTAGCCTTGTAACAGACTGCTGGGGCAAGTGCTGTTAAGCGAGCACCTATGAAGGCCGGCACGGCACGCGAGGGGGTGGGTGGCCGACACGTATATACGTTGAACTTCTTTCCCACCGTACGTAGCCGACCAAAGCTAATTGGAGATGCGGGGGTAGGACAACAGATTAAACACAAAGAGCAGTTCTAAATAAATGAGAAGCATTACGCCCCAGTGGTGATGTTCACACATCGCACCAGTTACTCATTTGAGGTTGAGTCGACCTTGGGGAGTCCCAGGACTGGTTCAGATAATCATCACTGGTGTTGGCCGTGGGCGGGAATCGAACTCGGGTCGACGGGTTCATAGTGCAGCGCGCTAACCGCTACACACACGTGCATGTACACACACACAGAGGTATGTACACATGCATGTAGGTAAGCACACATTCACTTGTATACATGTACCATACATGTATGGTTAATTTAGATGTTAGGTGACAGCCTTACCCTGCAGAAACGCTTGTTCTAACTCTATTCCTTTTGCACCAAAACTTAAACACGTAAGCCTGAATCCCAACTTTCAAACCGTGACACAAATTCCCATATAACCTACACATTAAAATCCAAACACTAAAACCCTGAACGTCTAAAAGCTTAATTCAAAACTCTAACCTCACAACTTTTTTTAAAATAACAATTTAACCATTGTACCTCCAACCACAAACCCCCAAACCTAAATACCAACTGTATTCCCCTGGCTTTATATTACGACCAACAAATATCTCGCTCAAAACGTCAACCCTCGTTCTTCAACCCCCACATCCGCTCGGTCCCCAACCCTGAACACCTGAATACGTTATTCCTAAACTGCAACCCTAACCCAATAAGCCGAGGACAAGAAAGCACGTGGCCCTGTCGCGAGTCCCCCTGTGGCATCTCGCTCTGGCCTTGCCCACCTGGGGTCGGCGTGCCGATGCAGGTGCTGCTTGAGGTACCACAGGAAGCGGTGCTGCGGCAGGAAGAGCGACACGGCCAGCGCCAGCAGCTGCCACGCCTGCAAAGCGGCATCGCCACATCAGCCACTTTCCTGCGTCAACCCCATACCTGGTGCGTGTGCGCGAGTGGATGTGTGTTGCGTGTGTGCGTGTGCGCGCATGTGCGCGTGCAATGTGTCATCAGCACTGGCTCCTGCATAGCCCTAGAGGGTGAACGTGTGGGCGGACTGTGTTTCGCATTTGCCTGCAGGAGCGAATAGTGGTTGAGCGGTTGGCGACGGCTTGTCTGCTTGATGAGCTGACCGTACATCTCGTTGTGCAGCTCGGGGTGCGAGAGGCACACTTGCAGCACGCTCTGTGCCAGCGACACGTGGTAGTCGATGGCCGGCGCGTCTATCAGCACGTTAATGAACAGCTGGCACGACTGGCGTACAAGGCGCACGCACGCGCACAACGGCACAACAAACACAATGCATGGGAAGAAGCGGCGTTAGTTAGCCATTCACAAAGGATTTAAAGCTTTCGTGACTGCAAGGATTCATCTTCTTTGGTTCTTTCGGTAAAGTCACGTAGAATGAGAATAAAATAATAAATTGATCAAATAAAATAACACAATAATATTCTCACGACGTTTCGGCCACAACACAAGCGGCCTTCATCAGTCTCGTCCCCTTCACCTGATGAAGGCCGCTTGTGTTGTGGCCGAAACGTCGTGAGAATATTATTGTGTTATTTTGTTTTATCAATTTATTATTTTATTCTCATTCTACGTGACTTTACCGAAAGAACCAAAGAAGACATTGACAAAGGCTTCAGAATTCTCTTTCAATTCGCTCCACTTGTCCATCTGCCATAAACCTGTTTAACAAGTTAATAACAATCGGTTACTTGAACTTATAAAATCGTTTCCTGTATGTATGTAGAATATTTTTTTTCGCTTTCGGTAAATGCATTGACTCGTGCTTGTAAACAAAGATTGCTGTATTTACGATCCATGCTTACCCACAAATAAGTTAATCGAATGAATGAGACAGAACAAACAAGACAGGTAATATAAACACAACCGTGCAAAGTGAAAAAAATACAATCAACTTTTGAATCCAACCTTAACACAGAACCGTCACAATTGAATCGTATCGGGGGGGGGTGGGGGGGGGGGGGGGTGTGTAAGTGAAAACCACTGTATGCCGACTATTTTCTGTGTGATAAAACAAGTTGCTACATTTTTCTTATTTAGATTTTATTGATTTCAGCAACAAGGACTCAATAAGCTGCTCAGCTCTATTTTCATGGGCATCCTGCGCCGGTACAGATGTTGTCCAGTAGAGATCCTAGTTACACAAGAAATGGGTTTTATAGGTCGGGATACAAAACGGCAAAGTATTGGTATGTGTGCTTCATGTGTTACAGGAATAAGGAAGCGTTCAAAAGCGTAAAAATAAAAAAAACGACTACATTTTTTTGACGAACAAAATTTTAAGGAACAAAAAAATTACAATTTAACAAAGCAAACACTAACTATTTCACTATTTTTATTTTACCAGGCAAGGCCCACTGAGCTTTTTCGCTCTTTCTCAGAAGTGACCTGGCCACAAATGATAGCTCAACCAAGTGGCTTATCATGTAGAAATTTATAGCAGCCAAATACTCTGAATGCGCGTCGATCCTAAATGTGGAGGGAAAAACCAGCGCACCCGCAGAAAAATCCAAGCGGCTATGGGCAGAAAGACACGCAAACTCCAAATAAACAGGCGTCAGCGTCAGAATTGAACCCATGACCTCCTGTATGCCAGGTGAGGTAGCTAACATCTCGCCACCGTGGCACCCCCAACGCAATCGGTAACCAGGAACCCTAAGCACGATCTAAACACATCGGAATACAATGTAACATAGCTTATTAAAGTTAAACCACGGAAGAACCCGCTGGCTAACGACGCTGGGGTAAAACGAGCCTGCGCGTGCGGGGGGTACCTTGAACAGCTTGACGGCCTCGGTGTGCAGCGCCTGCGAGGGCAGCGTGGTGAGCGGCCGAGCGATGCCCTCCTTGCTGAAGCACAGCGTCGGGTGCTGCCACAGCAGGGAGCCTGCTGGGCACACAGGCGCAACGAGAAAAGCATCAGCCGACACAAAAACACAAGTGAAGGAAAAATCATTCGTTTGCACGGGATTCTCGAGCACTCTCCATCGCGTGTTCGATTTCACAAGTATGTTTTAAAGCTCAAATATTGGATTCACCAGGTAAAGCACTTTTGAGCTCTAAGCTCTTGCTCAGAGGGAACCTGGCAATACATGATAGCTCATGGAAGTGGCTTACATTATCACGTGGGAATTTATAGTAGCAGCCAAATAACTGCGATATAAATGCGTTTACATGTGAGCAAACATCAATTTTTTTTCTCTGTTTGGCATCTGCTAAGTATGGGGCAACCCTTTGACCAATGTGGCTGGTTTTCAATAGGGTACATTCCAAAAAAGCAACATAACTTTAAACCGCAGATTCGTTCACGTAGGATCATCTTTACTCGAGTTATCGTGCCATACCCCCACCCCAAACATTACGGAGGAGAAACACATCCAAGATGAGTTGGAAAGCGTTCAAATAATTCACAAACTGTGTATGCATCATGTGGTGGCCACAGACAGAGCCGAAGTGAAACTCGTAGAATAAACACGACGGCGTGTGAGCTGCGAACTTTTATCGGTGGAAAAGAAGTGACGAGCGAGCGGCGTTTGTGAGCGGTGCGCGTTTGCGAAAGTAGAGCGGAAGTGAGCGGCGAGCGGCGGTGAGAGTGGACGGCATACTCGGGTCTCCATCCATGTCCATCAGCTGGCCGATGAGCTGCTCGTACTCCGTGCCCACTTTCCCACTCGTGCTCCCCGCGGCCACCGTCAGGTGGTACAGCCACGTATCCTAGACGCGCGCACACACACACATTACGCAGCACGCCGTGTGGGTGCGCGAGCGCCGACCCGCTGTGGCTACCCTGCGGTGCTCACTCACGCGGCCGCCCACAGAGAGCGCCAAATCAATCGTGGAAGCTCACGCTCACTCGGGCGAAATCACCTGGGATGGCATTGCAGCATTGTGCGCGCTCGCTCGCCTGAAGTTATCTCAAGCGTCGGGGCTCACTAAGGTGAAGGGTCACCTGGGACGGTTCTACATTATAGGTGCTCACACAGATGACATCGCCTGTTCGTACGCTACAGCACTACGGCTGCTCACACAGGTGAGGGTCACCTGCAATGGCTATGTATCACTATGGAAGCATCTACAGGTAAGGGGTCAATGACGGCTCACACTGTCAAGGTCACCTGGGATGCTTCTTGACCACCAATGAAGCTCACGCAGGTGAGATCACCTGTTTCGGCACCGTAGCATTACGGCCGCTCACACAGGTGGTGATGGTGTGTACCAATTGCTGCACCACTACTACGCGCCGCACCACGCCTCACCACGCCTCACCACTTCCGCACCACCCCGCAACGCACCACTTCTTCGCACCACTTCGCACCATAACCGTAACACTCGAACACCGGACTATCCCACACAGCGCCGCACCTTCTCGTGCCGGCCGGCGATGAGCAGGTACGTAGGGCCCTGGTCGCGCGGCTGCACGCACAGCGTGAGGTGCGGGGGGGCGGCCACGCTGCGCCGCGCCGACGTCACCTCGTAGTCCTCGTCCGAGTCGCACGAGCGGTCCACCTCCTCCACGCGCGCACCGCGCACGTTCAGCTGCCCCAGGGGCATCTGTCGGGGCGAGCGAGGGTTGGCGGCGTGAGCACAGCTTGCGCCTCACGAGCGCCACGTCCGCATCGCTCCTCCCGTGGCTCGTTAGTAACGCTGGCTTGTTATGGAAAGCGAAACAAAATAAAATAAATAATCACAAAGTGGAGAGACACGGTGTTCCTTTCCCAGACTCTGTTCTTTCCGCTGCGAATGAAGCGGTGCCAAATCTTCACAAGAACCCCCGTGGCCAATTTCTATGCCGGCACACACACTGGGGTCTTCGCACATCATCATTCCGCGCATATCAATATGCTCTCAGAGGTTCGGATACCAGAATGTGTTATTAAAATATAGACGGACGCACGTACGTTACGTACATAACAGCACGTAGTCGCATTAAAATAAATAGTAAATTGACTCGACTTTCTTTAATTAAACCTAAAAGTATATTTCAAGTTATTCTTCTTCGAGCCAGCTTGCTGGTGGACATGCGAGCAAATTGTCAGAAACCGGGGGCTGGCTCCCGAGCTCAGCGACTGCTTCCGCCCACCTTGTCCTCCTGGCTGCGGAAGTAGTAGAAGATTTTCCCGACGAGAGCGCACCATACCCGCTTGGAGTAGCCATGCTTCACCTGTGGCGGGGGGGGGGGGGGAGGACGGAGCAAACGCAGCACAGAGAATGACAGCAGAGATGTACACAACATATGGGCGGGGCGGGGGGGAGTACCACGGAGTTCGACTGAGACAGTTGAGAAAGGCGACATTCAACCGACGTCACGGTGGCGTCACGTGTTATCTCCCTCGCCCGGTACGTACGAGGGTCGTGGGTTCGATCCCGTGTGCGACGCCAGGATCAACGCGGACGCGTGTTCCGGCCGTGCGGTGCGCACCTTGGTGAGCCAGCCGTGCGCGCAGGGCTTGAGGTGCGGCCACACGAGGCCCGGGCGGGCGGCCTGCACGTGCAGCACGGCGTGCAGCGCGCGCACCCACTCCTCCAGAAGGTTGGGCGAGTCGGCCGCCAGGAACAGCACGCGCTTCTCCGTCACCAGCTGCGCAACAAACAAAAAAAAGAACACGGCAGCGGGCGGCTCGAACCGAGTTGATATCGGCCGCGCCATCGAGGGAAGACGGCGGCAGATGGCCACAAAGGAGGGAACGCGCCGCCGAGAGATGGTGCCATTGCCCCCGTCACCAGCTGCACGGCCACAGGTGGCGCCAGCTTAACGCAGCCTCACAGTTATTTTGCTCCCGATTTTATTCGAACCAAGTTATCGGCACAATCAATTGGTGGTTGGGGGGGGGGGGGGACAGTCGTAGAGGGTCAGGGGAGAAAAGGCGCGCGGGTGGACGTCCCACGCAGACGTGGCAGGAATCGTCGCAAACGACCGTGAGAGGTTGACATGCATTCATTAGGGAGGCCTTCACACAGCAGTGGATAGAGCACGGTTTGTTGATGATGCTATCAGCGTTATTTCCATAAACAACTTAATCTATTCAGAACTGTTGTAGAAACAGTGCATCATGCCATGTGAGAGAATGGTCGTTGGAAGGAGCTATAACATAACTACTCCAGCAATGCCTTCAAGTGACTTTCAATTCACTCACACACAGTAGGGGGCACACTTTCCCACATGCCCTGCGACTGTATCGTTTTGTGCACGACATTCAAACCGATATCTGTATGTGCTCGGAGGTGGAAATTAGCCAAACTAAATACAAAGAGAAATTTAACATCATTTTTCTCCATGCAATAATTGCCGACCGTACTGAGACCATCGTCAACTCGATACACTTGGCAACCCGGCTTGATCACAGGTGGCTCAAGCCCAGGCTTGATTGCTGGCACCTCGCCGGTGTGGGCTCGAAGCCTCTGACACATGAGCCACCTGGCTCACCCCTGTATTTCTATTCCGCAGGGGCCGTCGGGTTGCACAGGTTTGCCGGACCGAACGGCGGAAGGAGACTCGGGCGTCCTCACCTGCATCATTTGAGCTTCGTCGCCGCGAACCACGCGGCAGCACGCGTTCAGCTCGACCTGCCCCTGTGGCTTCCTGATGACATCGCTCTGCAAGATTTCAAGGGTCGAAGGGTGGAGGGGGAGAGGGCAGTCATTACGTCCCCAGTTCGCGGTGACAAACACCCAGCCAGCCGTAGGGCACACGAGGACATCGGTAACTGTGATTGAGCAGAGCTAAGTGGGTCTTTCTTCCTATCACCACAAAATTGTGCAAATGAGACAAAATAATTAGAAATAATACGATCAAGATTGCGAAAGTGAGACAAAACTCGATATACAGTAAAACCTTGGATTGGGAGCATAATTCGTTCTGGAAACGTGTTTGTAATCCAAAGCACTCGTATATCAAAGCACTCGTATGTCAGTTGTGATCACGTGACGCTCGGCAGACACAGCGTATATACGTACTACTCGTATTGCAAGACTTCGCTCGTTGATCAAATTAATATTCATTTCAAATTTTTGCTCGTCTTGCAAAACACTCGCAGACCAAGTTACTCGCAATCCAAGGTTTTACTGTATTTCATTCCAGGCTTCAGAGCAGCACTGCACAGTTGATTCACGCACTGCACTTGAATCCCTGCGACTTAAAAGTTCGATTCCCAGACGTGGACAATATTATCGGTATCCGGGAAAGGCGGCCTGGGTACGGGTGTCTCACCGGGGATTTGTAGTAGAGCAGCTCCCCGCCCCGCAGCACAAACCACCGGCGCTTCCATGCGGGCACCTGTCCACCAAGCTTGAGCAGATAGCCTGACTTCTCCAGGGTTTCCTGCCAACGCACGTCAAGAACTCCCTTCACACGCCCAGGAAAGCGACACCAAGTCTCAAGGCTCTCTCGTAGGAAGGTCCCTCAATGGGGACGTTGGGCCACTGCCGGAATCAATGTTTGTGCACGCGGGAGGAAATCAGCGGTCCCCAGAGAAAGCCCCACGCTTATAAGCGGGCGGCACTCTCAATTCTTTACACGCAGCGCAGAAACTTTCTGTACCGCCATCTACTGGGACAACGTAGAATTCCGGCAGGATGCAAATTCTCGCACAGACGCGGCGATCTCTGCATGATCCACCAACCCTTGCCCCCCCCCCCTCCCCCACCCCCAAGGCAGTATGCTACAGCCGTGCGGTGCCGCATGCGTACCCTCCGAATGGCTGCTCAGTTCAGAAGGCAGCCAAGCGACACGTACGTTAAGCACCGGGCTTTTATATTGCGAGAGGATCTGGGATCAGGAAGCGGAATCTAAGCGGTTGCTGGCTCGGTGCTCTAATAACACCAACATCTATTCATCGAGTGGCATAGCTATCGAGTGTGCAGGTGGTGCAACTGCACCAAGGACTCACGGCCGCTGGGCTAATAGGAGAGGGGGAAATCGAAGAGGAGGCCCAATTGAATTCCTTGCAGCAGAGCCCAAGCCAACTACGCTACCCTGCTGCATCCATTGTTTAAACTTTCAGCTCTCAACTGATCTCTTGCGCTCCCAAATACATCCTGACTACGCGACAGGCATCACATCACGAAACTCTCGCAACTGCGGTGTCACCGAAACGCCGAATGCCGGTGCTGTAACTGCAAAAGCGGGGGAGCTTACGGCACGCGTGCTATCCGAAGATCGCGCCGAGCAGGTCTTGAGCAACTTGTGCTCCGGCTCCGAGTGGTCACTGTCGGCCCAGCAGGCGTCCGGCGGGATCGCGTAGTCGCTCTCCGAAGATATGGACGACATCGACACGCCTGCTCGCGAAGCACGCACGCACGCACGGCGCACGCACGGCACCACGTGAGCCGCGCAACGACGCCAACCCGACAGAGATACGATCCGTCGTAGGCGAGCACGAGAGTAAGGATTTCAAGAAATCGGCGGAAGCAACGGAGCAATCTGTAGGCCTCACCTCTCTTGACGGCGCGGGGGCTGCCGGGACCGCTGCCCTTGCGAGCGGCGGCCGTCGAGGGCTGTGCGGCCATGGTGGGGGTTTGCGGTGGGAGGGGCGGGGGTCCGGGCGGTGGCGCCGGCGGTGCCGACGACGGAGGCTCGGAGGCCGAGGCGCGGGAGCTGGCGCACGACGAAGAGCCGTCCTCGTCCGAGCACGAGGCCCGGTCGGGCGACAGTGGCGACGCGCTCAACTCCGTCGCTTTCTGGGGCACGCGAAGCGGGGAGGGGTGGCACAACGATGTCGCACTGGCCACAACGGTGTCGAAGGCTGCATGTGACGCGGGGCAGCTTCGCGTGCGATAAGGTTGCTGACAGGTAAGCCTTGCACGTAAGGGTGGATCTGTATAGTCAGAGAGGCGAGCACGTTTGGCTACGTACAGAGCGAAAGAAGTTCAACTTACATACACGTGACAATGCGTCAATTCCTCAGTGAAAAAAATCGATGCAATCGCTTGCAGCATGCGCATCGAACCGTGCGCGACATGCAATTTATATATTAATGCGACATATAGGCTCACGGAGAGTACGGCAACATTCGAATAAGGCAGGATGCTAATTTCAAGAATAAAAAATAGTATGGTGAATGCTAGACAAAGATTAACCTGCTCTTGAATCGATTCCGACCCCGAGCCGTGATCATCAAACCGATGGGGGAACGGGAGTGAATCACGATGCGCACACTGCACTGTAAACCCGTCGCCCTCAGTTCGAATCCCGGCCATGGAGAACATCAGCAGCATGTGGTACCCGAACCTGTCGTGAGGAGACAACTGGTCCACTCAGCAATAAATGAATAAATTTCGATTTAAAGCTTTCGTGACTGCAGGGATTCATCTTCTTGGTTCTTTCGGTAAAGTCACCACGTAGAAGGGAAACAATAAAATAATAATAAAAATAAAACATAAAATAAAATTCTCACGACGTTTCGGCCACAACACAAGCAGCCGTCCTCAGGTGAAGAAACAGAGCTGTCGGAAAGACATGGAAAGAGCCACTGGAGCGCTGTCTTTCCGTCAGCTCTGTTTCCTCACCTGAGGACGGCTGCTTGTGTTGTGGCCGAAACGTCGTGAGAATTTGATTGTATTATGTTTTATTTTTATTATTTTATTATTTCCCTTCTACGTGACTTTACCGAAAGAACCAAGAAGAAAAATAAATGAATACCTCATGGGGTGTGTGCAAGCAAACGCACGGGGGAGACTGAGTTTGCAGGGGGTGGTGCTGAACATGCAAGCCACCTTATGGGCTGTACTGAACAACACTCCTCCGAGTCTTGACGGCTTTATGAGGGACTTTTGTCTTCGAGGAAGGATCCGAGTAGGATACTTTTAAACTATTGTGTAAGCGATGAATTGGGCACAACCCTCGGTGCTCATGGACAATATTTTGTTCTTAAGATTTTGCCACTAGATGGCAGACGTATCACGTGGCAAAACTAGGAGGGTACCCTTGCACACCTGCACATAAGAATAGTGGCACGATATCATAAATTGTTTGTAATCTCACGAATCACGTAAACCATTGGAAATTGCGCGGTAACATTTAAACAAATGTTGGGCCCTGTTAACTCCGGGAGTGCCGAGAGTGCAGGGCCGTGTGCTCTGCAGACGGTGCCGCTCACCCCCTTGAGCATGGCGTACACGGGGGCTGTGACGCTGTTGTAGATGAAGTTCCTGAACGGGCTGGACGACGCCCAGGCCACTGGGCTTGACACGGCTGTGGAGAGAGCGAGAGGATTGTACGACAGGCGACAGGCACAAAAGGGGGGCAAGTAGATTATCGAGACAATCAAGCGCCGTCGCCCGTGCCAGACAAAGTAACTCACCCCGACCCGCCGGGACCACGGACTCCGCACCAGCGCTCCCTGATCCTGACATCCTCAGGCCGGACTTGGCAATGGCATAAATGCGGCTCTCCTGTCGACAAAGCAATACATTATTTTTTTAATCAACAACTATAGATTTAGACTGCCATGACTAAATGAGTGATATCAATTCGAATTATGTTCAAGAGAGGCTACACAGCTGAAATTTGGCAAAAACAAAAATCGAAAACCTACATTTTCGTAATTATGGACACTCCATTTTTCACAATATTTCATTTCTTTTCCGTATAACTAGGCCCATAAAAGTATTTGGTGGCGTTGGAAGGTTGCCGAATGCAAACATGAAACCTTGTTTTTAACACCAACATTTTTCTGGTACTTGTTTTTGACGAGTGCAGCACTAACGCCAATTACAAATGGGCTGCGAGAAGTGGTCATCGGCCGTAAATAAAATACAAAAACGTTGCGGAACACGCCGCACGTAAAAAACTGTACCCAAGATGGCAGGCGATGGAGCGGGGGCGTTGGTGGCGCCGGGGTGCTCGCCACCTGCCCCACCGCCGCCACGACCTCCCCGTCGTCGGTCTCCATGCCGTCGCTCTCCTCCTCCCTCTGTGTTTCCGCCGTGCAGCGGCCGTCGGCGTTTTCATCGGCAACCGTCTCTCCCTCCGTGTCGTCGTCCTCGTCGTCCTCCTCATCCGTGTCAATCTCGGTCTCGAAGCGAGCGCGGATGGGCGGTTGGCTGCGGATGTGACGTCTGAGCGCGAACTCCGACCTGCCCTCCGCCGAGTCTTCGTCTGTCCCGCCCGGTCGCTGCGCGATCCCCTCCGCGGCCGCGCGCACCTTGGGGAGCGTCGTGCACACGGGGCGGCTGTCCTGATGCGGACGGCGTGAGCTGCCGCCGTCCTTGTCTCCGTGGCGTTGACCGTTGCGGCCGTCGTCGGCGTTTCCCGCTGTGCTCTCCGAGCCCACGTTGCACACCGAGTTTGAGTCGGCCGGGCCCGATGCGGGGCCGCAGGCGGAGTTCGAAGAGGAGGAGAACGAAGAGAAAGACGACGACGAGAAGGAGGGTGGAGTGAGGCTCAGCGCAGACACGCGGCTCGGAGACAGCTCCAACGCGGCGGCGTCACCGTCGCCCGCACCCCCGAAGCCCGCAAGCGCAGGACCAGCTGCGCTTGCCGGGGTCGGGGTGGCGTCCCCCCCGGTGGCGATGGGTTGCGGAGGAAAGGCCGGGCTAAGGGGCGGCACAGGAGGAGCAGTGCACGGCCTCCGGGTCGGGCTGGACGCCGCTACGCCCGCCGCTCGTGCGTAGGGCCGCAACTGCTCCGGCGCCACGAGCACGAGCGTCTGCTCCGCTTGCCGCACGACGACGCCGTCGTCTTGGGCGGGGTGGCGGAAGCGAGACTCCCAGGCGCTCGTCACCGACGCCCGGCCCGGACTCTGGCCGCTGGCGCTCGGCAAGAACGACCTCGACTCTGACCCCGCCAATTCCACCGAGTCGGAGTTTCTGCGCGGGTCGCCCGATTCGGCGTCCGCGTCATCGTCGCCGTCTATGTCGTCGTCGTCCCCATCTTCCTCCATCATCGCCATCAGCGTCTTTGTGGCTGTGAGAGAGAAGAGCCGGGTGGTTGACACGAACGCTTTGCGAGCATCACGAGGAGTTCACCACCACACAGGTGGCACCCCATTTGAGCGGCTCCTCATGGTGACAAACACAACTGATAAATGAACCCCTCCCCCTTACTTGAAAATGCTGGAAATTTTTGTTGCACGTCAAGTTGATCAACATTTAATTTGTGGTCTGATTTGTTATTTTTTTAAGTGATAGATTTATGCATTAATAAAAGGTTTATTTTAGGCTCATCCATGGACTTGTTGCTTCCGACCCAACCCCCCCGTCGCATCTCACTCTACTGCCTTCCAAATGTTCTCTGCTCCAGCAACTAAGACCTTCTGTTATAACACCAAGATGTCCTTTGCTCAATGTGAGGTCATTCCTTCCATCTATAATTACCTCCCACTATCCTTGCACTGTAGCCGCGCTGTAAGAACCCCCTACTTGTATTAGTCCAGGCTTACGAGCTTCGATCGTGATGCCTTCTCTAAAAGTGGTCTTCACAAACAAGCAGGCAACACCGAATTTAACTCCCTTTTCTCTCTGCCCTAGGCCCTTCTACCCTCTCGCTGCCTCCTCTCCACACAACCATACTGTCGAAAATCCATCAATGTGCTCACATCCCCCCCCCCGTTTGTCCAGGGCATCGAGACGTGTTCACAATCACGCGGACCATAAACTCGAATGGCAGTCTACAGCAATGACGCTTTCAGCACGAGAGACAAACGGTCACTGTGAACGTGCGCGTGATGCAGCGCGCGTGCCGCTCACAACACGAGGGGGCCCCTCTGCAACGCTTACCCTGCAGGCTCTGAATCTGCTCCTGCTGCTTCTGATTGGCTGCCCTCAGGGCTTGATTCTCAAACTCCAGCTGAGAGAGAGAGGAGGAAACAAAAAAGAGGAAATATTTGAGCACAACGGGAGTGGGCAAAGACGCCGACCCCTCAGCAGCGCCGTGGCCTCCGTGCCTCTCTCACCTCGCGCAGCTTCAGCGTCACCCACTCTTTAATTTTCGCGGCTTTCTCTTCGATCATTTTGGTCTCCTGAGCTCGGATTTGCTTCTGTTGAGGCGGGGGAGGGGGTGCGGAACGAAAACCGACGAGGAATCAGAACCTCACGCCATCAGGTTTCAAGCAACGCTCACGTGGTTTACATTCAGTCGCAGGAGAAGTAACTCGGCTCATTTTGATTTCATATTCATTCTCATCAGATGAGTAGTTTATAATTTTCTAACACGGAACTGTTCCTCTTTAAACAGCCACTACCAGAATCTCGTGATGCTAGTCACATGTTGGGTGTTGTAGTTAAGAGTAGCATCCTGATTAGAACCATCTGCAATCGGATGAAATCCATCACGTGCAGGTGTTTTTTTTTCATTTGAAATGGATTCACTGCAGCCTAAATTCAATAGTTTGAACAAAATGTAGAGGTTGCATTAACTTGTATCGCTCATATACATTTTGTTCAAATACGTTTTATTCATGCAATGCAATTTGGATTTGAATACCTGGCACACTAAATTTTTAACAAAAAAGTGAGCTGTACATCTGTAAGATGAGGTCACACGCAGTAGTGTAATGAGGCCATAAACTTTAGCCGATACACAGAAAGGGCGACTTCAAAGGGCCGACCGCCCATGTGGTCACGTCCGACCAACACTCTTGTGGAGCCTGGATAAGAATAGGCCACAATAAATGTCACCAGGCATTGTGAGCCCCGGCAGATGGAGCAGGGTGAAAGGGGGAAGTTCACGCGGAGGGTAACACGTTAACACCTGGAGGTGGCGCTTGGCACCCCCGTGGTGTTACACCAAGCATCAGATGGGGACGAAGGCGTGCGTGCGCACGCGCTCGACACGGGATGGGGGGGGGGGGGCCCACACATGCGTAACTGCGAGCGTCTCCGCGAGGACGCTCAGGTGAAAGTGCGCGAGGGATCGTGCCTGCTGGTGCAGGTCGCTCTCCAGGCCGGCGAGGGCGATCTCCTTCTGGTGCAGGAGGCCGAGCAGCGAGGGGCAGCGAGGGCAGGGCCCGTCTCCCCTCCCTCCCGAGTGCGAGGGTGACGACGCGGCTCTCAGTTTCTCCTCGAGCACCCGCACCTGACGGCCACGGGCACGCACGCTCGCTCGGGACGGCGTACACGGGAGCTGGCCGGGTGGCTCCGAAGGTCAGGGCATTCGTGGTTCGAAGCGGTGTTTCAGACGCCGGTGATTACGTCGGAATTGTAAGCGTCGCACATCGATGGTCTCGGCCAGGTCACCGATGTCATATTAGCATTTGGTTATTAATTATTTCGGTAAAATTCCAGCTGAGAATGTGAAAACAGCAGTGTGGCTGCCAGGCTATGAACTTTTTTTTTTCCGTAGAACGCCGCGTGGAAATGACCAGCGCCCCTCCCCCGACTGTGTCGACAAAAGAAAGGCGTTTTGAGAAGGGAACCTCAGAAGCATTTCTACGAAAACTCCTTCCGCGTGCCGTTCCCTAGAACGCGCGCGGCCGGCCCCGGCCGAACGCATCATCCCGACGGCGTCACTCCCAACAGCAGAGTCAGGTGTTACAATTGTGGGAAAAGATGAAGCAAAGAGAGCAACCACACAGGCACAGGAGTAGACACTGAGGAGAGGGGAAGGGGCGGACCAAAGACACACAGGGGGAGACAATAGAGGCTGTGGGAAGGGGTGAGCGCAGGGGGGGGGACATGCTCGCGCATGTTTGCACGCTCGAGTGTGTACACACACGGAGAAAAGGAGAGACAAACTTCCCCCACCCCCTCGGCAGCCTTTCCGGCTCCCCCCTCCCCGTCCACGGTTTAAGCAAACAAAAAGCTTGCTCCGTGCTGAAGCGCGGCTAAGTGCTGGGATTACAAACACGGAGCACGCATCTGTAAGCCCGGGCCATTTTCTGGGCCAGGAGAAGCAGACAAACGGCCGCTAATTGTCTCCTCCTCCTCCTCCTCTCAGAGTGCGGCGGGGCGCTCTTTTCATTCGGTCGAGCGGGCCGTGGGGCCGAGAGCCGTCACATTCTTGTTTTTTCTCCCAGAAAAAAAAATCGCCGACGAAGTCGCGCGGCCGTCTCGCCCAGAAACGCACGGAGCTATTCCTGTGCCAAAAAACAACAGCTGATCAATATATATCTCTTTTTTTTGTTAAACCCCCATCAACTGAAAAGAAACATGTTTTGTGAGAATTTGAGTTTTGAAAGATTTTTTTTTGTTTGAAATGTACTGTAAACAAGTTTCTTATTGAAGCTGCTTTCAACGAACTGTTGACCATTGGTGGCAGCCAGCCCCCACCCCTTAACTCCCACATCCTCTCCCCGACCCCCAAAATCCTCTGGGACCATCCTGAGTTTTGCAAGAGAAGTTTTTTTTTTACGCCCAAACAAAGCGGTGGGGGGGCGGTGAGGCGGGCGGTGGGGGTGGGGGGCATAGGGTCCTCGTGCTCCCATCCCGAGCACAGCTGTGATGGAGTCACCTTGCTGACGCGTGCGACATTTCACACTTTTGGTTTTGCCAGCAGGAGTCCGAGCGGCCGCAACCGAGCCCGACGGGCAGCCTGCGGCTGCACAGCCAAACATCGTGGCATGCGTACCCGTCATCGAGTGGTGACGGAGCGAGGGGGTTGGTGGATCGTGCGGGATCCGGGGAAACTCACAAACTCGTCCGTCTATAAGGCGGCCCCAGAAGGTGGCGGTGGAGCAGGTGGGTCCGTTGATCCTGCCTGGGTGAACGTTTTGAGCGTCATCCTCCTATGACGAGCGAGTTTTGTTCTAACACTGCGTTCCATATTTAAAATTGCTTTAAATGGAGTTGGGCAAACATCCCAACGTACCGAGTCTGGAGACGTTGAGCAACTCTCCTGGATAGGTGCATACAGTGAGAACTGCCAGTTTAATGTAGTGCAGCATCATCATCAATATCAATGATTCTCATCATCATCATTGTTACGTGTCCTCATGGAGCTCACCCCATCTTGGCATACCGTGAGACTGAACGTGGGTTGGATGGATAAAAAAAACACGTGAAATGTAGATGGCAAATAAAGGGAGATGATGCGACGTAGCACATCTCACAAGCGATGTGGGGAGAGGAAAACGGGCAAAAAAAATTGCGAAACAAACGGAAACGCGCTATGAACCGCACGCACCCAGACCCCGGCAGGAGGCACCGTCCACGGAGTTTATAAACACGCGGCGCGGGATTAAGATGCCGTGGAGGGGGGATATCTCCCCTCCACGGCGGCCCCCGTGTCCTCGCGAGGGTAAACTCCCACACCTCCTCGATGCACAGCCGATTTCGGAGGCGCGGGGAAGACTCATTATATCATCGTTCCTGTTTCAATACGTGCGCCACAAAATGGAGCTGCTCGATGTGTGCGAAAGCCAAATGGCTCAAACGACTTTTAATCATGAACGCCGCTGCAGGGTCACCCGGGGTTCGTGTTTGTGCCATCGATGTCCTGATCTTTGTGGCAACTGTTGCGGCGTTACTGTTCCGTCGGGTGGACTGAGCGAGGCTGTGTTTGGTGTCCCCGATGTGCAAAGAGCAGTTGGGGGGGGGGGCGTAGGCCAATCGAGAGCCGAACAGCGTCGCAGGCTTTAACGGCGCCACCACAACAACAACGCGCGCGGGAGTTATGTGCACAACGCACGTTGCGCATCATCAAAGCCGAAGAACCCCCCCCCCCCACCGTGTGGCCCACACAGGCTGTCAGTGGGGGGGGGGGGAAGTTCTGTTAGCGAGCATCCATAGAGGCCCGCAGGGCGGATGAGGGAGTGGTGTGGTCAGAATTACTCTCGGCCGCGCTCGTCTCCTCCCCGCTGCTGAAGTTGTTGACGCGCCGCAACAGCGACTCGCTGGAGGGCCGAGGCGGCCGAATTGAGGCTCAGAACCCCCGCTTTCAGTGATCGCCGCTGTTGTTCGCCACGGCCAGGATTAATCCCACTCAGGTTTCCGGGTTCATAGCCCGGTGAGCTAACCGCTACGCTACCTGTCCGTGCGCAAACACCACATACACAGACACAAACACGCGGACGCATGCACGTTAGTTCGCGCTCACCATTTTTTTCGGCAAGAAGGCGCCAAAAATGGAGGGAAAAAATATAAATCCATTTAAGTATGAAAGGAATGCCCCCCCCCCCCACCACCACCCCTCCCTCTCCCACCCCCCCCCCAGAAAAAAAATGGGTAAAACCTGCTGGTAACAGAATAGAACAACATCATCGCCCCAGTGCAGCCTGCGTGAGCAGCAGCCCCGTGAAGGCGGCAGTCGGCACAAAACGAGGACTGCACTCTCCTTGAAGGACAAACGATTACGGGGGACGATGTGAGGTTTGGTTGGGGGGTTGCAATGAGGCTGGGGGAGGGGAAGGGCAGGGGGGGGGGACCTGATTTTGAGCCAGCAAAGATGAAGATCCCCCCAGACTGCTGGGGCAAGTGCTGTTAGCGAGGAGCGTCTGTGAAGGCCGGCGAGGAGTACGAGCGGATGGTGTGGCCAGCGCCACTTCTGAACTTCTGATCCGCCTTCGTCCCCACAATGCCGGTGTTCACACGAAGCATCAGGTAATCCTTTATGGCCGAGATGACCCAAGGGAGATCCCAGGACAGATTCAGAAATCACTCGCCAATGAAGTTGGCCATGGCTGGGAATCAGAATTCGGGTTCCTGGGTCCTGGGTTAGTAGCGTAGTGCGTGAACCACTACCCCTCCCCCACTGACACACTCTCCCACACAGAGAGGCTCATGGACACACGCAAAGATTTACCGGTATTTCCAGGTGGAGTTTGATGGCTAAATTGAGGGTTTGCTTGTGGGAAGTTTTCAATATTTTTCCCTTCCTCTTCCAGTTTTTCTGCATTGTTGTGAGCGATCTTAAGGGTTAGCAGCGCTACTTCGGCGGAACGGTTTAATGCCCGTGTCGGAGAACCGAGACCGTGACTTTCGCAGCGTGGGTTCGAGTCCCAGCTAAAGTAAAGCAAAAACAATAACCCACTTATTAAACGCAATTCCTACTCTCATGGAATTGCGTTAAGCAGATTATTTTTCCGGAACATTCATTGTACGCGATTGGGTCACGAAAACCACACGAAAGGTTATTGGAAAATATATTTCATATCCCGACTGCAATTGTCAAAAATCATGAGCCCCGGACAGTGACGATTCATTGAGTTTTGGACGGGGCAGGGGATTGGAAGAGTGGCTAATCTCGGCACAAAAGCAACCCACTCTCTCAGAGAGACACCTGCTGGCCTGCTTCATTTGTTAAGCGCTGCCAATGTATGAACGCCTGGAATACTGACAGGCTCCGCGACGAGAGGGGCAGAGCGGTGGCGCGGTGGTTCGCGTGCTGCTCTACGAACCTGGCCAACCTGAGTTAGGTTTAATATAAGAATAGGTTTCACCCTTTCTGGCAATAAAACAGTTGTGTTAAGATGTTAAAGCACCAAACTGAAACCTTTCGCAAGGAATCGTGTGTCTGCATTAACCACACGTACTTGTGGTGAACATGCAAACCAAAAAAAAACATGCTCTTATAGTATGTGATGCATTGTCTTTGAAACTATACTATCCCAGCATGTTTTTTTTTGCATGTTCACCACAAGTACGTGTGGTTAATGCAGACACGATTCCTTGCGAAAGGTTTCAGTTTGGTGCTTTAACATCTTAACACAACTGTTTTGTTGCCAGAAAGGGTGAAACCTTTTCTTATTTTCGATACCGGCAAGGGAGGTCCCCTTGCATGAGGTTCCCGGCCACGGCCAATGTCAACAGACGCTGATATCTAAAGCAGTCCCTCGGTGTACCGCTCGCACCCCACACTCCCTCGCCAACCTGCACTCTCCAGCGTGGTGAATTGCGTTGAAAACGAAACCCCTACGGACGATTGACAACGGGCTGCACTCCGCGCGACAAAGCTCGGCCGCGATGCACGGGAGAGACGTGGGGTGGTGGGGGAAGGTGGGAGCGAGCGAGCGGTGATGTGGGGGAGGGGCAGCGAGTTTCTGGCACCATTGTGAGTTCAACACCCCCCCACCCCCTCTAACCCCCCCCTTTCCACTCCCAAAGTCTCCAGTTAAACATTCACAACCGTGAGCGTGGTTGTGGGGAGCGGTAGCGTAGGATAAGAAACGCAGAAAGGATGAGAAGCACCTGTGTTAAAACGTCGCCGATCGACTCCCCGCCGTACACAAGCAGCCTGCCGTGTCCACGTGCAGTGTTCACGCGACGGTGGGGATGCCCCGTGTCCACGTGAAGTGTTCACGCGACGGAAGGGATGCCCTGTGTCTACGTGCAGTGTTCACGTGAAGGAAGGGATGCCCTGTGTCTACGTGCAGTGTTCACGTGAAGGAAGGGATGCCCCGTGTCCACGTGCAGTTTTCACGTGAAGGAAGGGATGCCCTGTGTCCACGTGCAGTGTTCACGTGAAGGGATGCCCCGTGTCCACGTGCAGTGTTCACGTGAAGGAAGGGATGCCCTGTGTCCACGTGCAGTGTTCACGTGAAGGAAGGGATGCCCTGTGTCCACGTGCAGTGTTCACGTGAAGGAAGGGATGCCCTGTGTCCACGTGCAGTGTTCACGTGCAGTGTTCACGCAGTGTTCACGTGCAGTGTTCACGCGACGAAGGGGATGTCGCCTCACCTGCTGCTCTGCTTCGTCGGCGCGGCGGTCGGCCTCCAGGACGCGTCGATCCAGCTCCCCCATCTGCACGCACGCACGCACAAAACACAACGACAATTATAATCCTCACCAATATCATCATCATCACTCGCGATCTCTCCACTGTTGCATTAAGGTATCTCCAAGGCATCGCCTTCCTTCTTTGTCACGCCATGGTGACAGGCCATCTAGTTCGGGCACACGAGCCGCCGGTCTCATCGCTCCATCTCCCCCAATGGACGCCCGTCCAAGCGTGTTATCCCTTCTATAACTGCCGGAATCAGAATAATCAGAATCTTGACTTAGACTGGAAGAATCGACACTGTCGCAGGTCTCGAGCACCGGTCATCATCGTGATTAATAATAATAACACACTGCCGGATGAAGGAATCCCCCGCGTTGATGTTTAAACACACTGAGCCACGTTGCTCAGTGTGGGTGTAAGTTTTGGGGGGGGGGGGGGGGGGAGCAAGAACGCTTCACATATCACTCGCCGTTCATTTCAGTCGAGGCTGAGAATTCAACTTTACATCGCTAGTTTTGGAGGACAGCAAGTATGCAAGCCACTGGGCCTGCGGCGTCTAATAGATCTGAACGCGCGCGCATTCTGAGCTCGTGACGAAGGGGAAAGATTTTTAGTTCTAAAAAGAAAGAGGAAGTTAAGGATGGAGAGGTACGGGAGGGGAGAGAGAACGTGTGTATATGGACGGACACAGTTTCGGGCATAACTTGAAATCCGTGGGAAAAACCCAGAATCCACGATCACCGTCGTAACACGCTTTGGTCGCGCTTCCATTCACCAGGCAAATCCGTTCCGACCCCCAAGGCGCCGTGCATCTTAATGCCGAGTTGGGACCACAGCAGATGCTTTCAAATGCCAGTAACGCCACAGGCGTGAGGGAACTGTGAGGAGCGAGTTATAATCCTGCCGTGTTCTAACGACACCGATGGATAATTCTCGCTTATCATCGCCCGTTGGCAGCCTCCCGTGAGAAGTGCGGTCTGCAGCGAGCGACGCTCCCCGTGCCCCGCGACGGCCTGATTCCTCCCCCTCTTCTTTCTGCCATCGCGTGCCAAGGCCCGATGGGCTCTCGCTCCGAGGAACGGTTACACTTGCAGACAGAGAGGGCTTCAGTTGAGTGTTCGAGAAATCCGCCACCACTACCACTTAACCAACTCCCCGCAAAAAGAGAAACCAAAATAAGAAACATTCCCCACCCCCCACCCAAACCATTTCACCTCTCCAACCACGACGCTTCATCCCAGCCTCCCTCCTCTCTCCGTGAGACTGTTTTGGAATGTTTTTGGTTCATGAAGCTCTGTCAAGAGCACGCACAAGAATGCTCGGTATTGCAGGTGAGCTCCCCGGGAAGGCGAGCGCAGACCCTTCCTTCTTCCCGTCTGAGCCACTCCCCGGCTTCACGCAGTGGCGCACAGACGCGTGCACGCAAGCACGCGCCCGCGCGTGCTTGCGTGCACGCTGGGAAAACATCACACGGGGCCACGGCGGCCATAAAGGGCCCAGCCCCTCTAACCCTTCGCTCAGACGAGGGACCACACACGCTGGCCAGGTGTCCCCCCTCCCCGTTGGGAAGGCGTGCGCTCACACAAACGTGTTTGTGTCGCGCTCGTAGAGGCCCAGGCACACACGTGTGCGAACGCGCAGAGGAGCCGACGATGACCTCTGTGTAATGCACACACGCCGGGCGCAACGCACGTACGCCCACTCTCTCGCGTTTCCCTTAAACCGGAGCCTCGTCAAAGCAACACAGCGGCCGAACGCGAAGACGAGGCGCAAAGCAAGCAACGAGGTGACGAGGACGGGAGGGTGGGAACCGACACCCGAAACATAAACGTTGCGCTCTGCTGCGCCCGGGCCAAGCTCTCGCACGGGGAGGCATCTCCACCCAAATCCTCCGCTCCCCGGCTCCACGCCATCGCGTTCCAGGAGATTGTTTTTTTTTTTCAGAGCATTGAGCTCATCCCGCGAGCAGAGTCCAAGTCCGCAGGGGAATCCATGGTAACGTCGCTGGAGAGCCGGCACGGGTTTAGGTAGACATGGGCGAAGTAGAGGAGGGGCGACTTACGGCGCGGCGGGGACACGGTGGCGACAGACGATGTCTGGGGACGGGCGATGACATTTTTCGTCGGTTTTGGCGGCGCTCTCTCTGCTGGTGGGTCCAATGGGAGGGCAGGGCCCTGCCCGGTTGCCGGGCCATGCCAGAGCACCATGGGAAATTCATATTGACACCCTCGGACGGAGTTAGAATTTCAATTCGAAAAAACTCAACACGTGCGAGACGTATTGAGTTGCTGATTTATATTCGTAATAAATTACCACCGGGATGAAACGTGAAAATGCGGAGGAATTGTAAGATCTCCCCGATTTGTGCTTCACGAGGCCCCAAGAGCTGAACTCTGCCCTATTCAATCCCCCGCCACCATCCCGCCGTAGGGTTCAGGCATGCGGGCGGCGGTGTTAATCATTGGAAGCTGGCCTTAAGCGGAAAACCTGCTGTGAAAGCACGGCTTTTTTGTGTGTGTGTGCAAGGATGGAGGAGGGTGCATGTGGCGGGGGAGTGCCCTGTAAATTATGCATTCGCAGCCAACACTCAAGTTTGCGTCTCCGCTCCAACACCCACAATTCCAGAGCCACGACTCACACGACTATGTGCGGGTTATTAATTAATTATTATTTTTTAAAGCACGACGCAGCTGAACGGCCCCTCCGGTCTCCTCCGGTGCAGGTAGACACGGGGGGAGCAGCCGCAAATGGGCACGGAGACGACACCCAACTCGCTGGCGCCGGCAACATGAACCCAGGCACGATGCGGTGGCGGGGGGGGCACGTTGTGGTGGGGGGGGGGGTGTGCCCCCTTCTCCTCGGTCACCAGCAACAGACACGCACAATGAAGGAGGGGTTCGCGGGCGGATCTTGAAAGGAGCTGTGTCGTCGTGGGGCTAGATTCAACGGTGGGCGGGCGGACGGCCGAGCGCACGCAGCCCCGGGCTGGGCTCATAGGGATGCACAAACAATCATTTGGTTGTGCACAGCAGGAAGCCGTTTTAATGCGGCCGGCGTGGGAAACGTGGGAGTCCGTGTGGGGGGAGGTGGTGGAGAGTCGTGGATGAGGATTAGGCCTCCCTTTGGTGGGGGAGCGGATCACTCGCATGGCTACCCCGGTCATTTGTGGACTCGATTTCGCGATTCCAGCACTCCACCCCCCCCCCCACTCCACCCCCCCCCCCACTCCACCCCCCCCCCCCCACTCCACCCCCCCCACTCCACCCCCCCCACTCCAGCCCACCCCACTCCACCCCCCCCACTCCACCCCCCCCCCACTCGACCCCCCCGAGCATGGCCAACTACCACCCGACCGACCGGCACGCGGCAAAACTCACAGCGCCATATCAAGGTTTAGCCGCTCGCCCTGTCATTTGGGAAAAACCTCTCAAAATTAAAATAATTGCAGCAAGAGACCTGCCTCTCTCCCCGCCCGCCACCAAAACCACACCATCATTAAGAGGATGCAGACCCCAGCGCCGCGCCATGGCATGCTCCCCCGCGAGCTTTCATCTTCATGGCTGCGAGCGAGCATGCCTGACTGAGCATCCCACAGCGCACCAGCGGAACCTTCCGCCCCGCGCTGCCGGCGGGCTCACCCACCCACCCACCCGCCCGCCCGCCCGCTCACCCCGCTCTCCCAACTCGCCCTCTCGCTAACCCGCCTGGCTAAGCGACTCGTCCTATCGCCTGCTCACCCTCTCAGACCCTTCCACTCGCCTCCCAACCCGCTCGCCCACTCATCCTCTCACCCACTCGCCATCTCAACCACTAAAACTCTCGCCCACTCGCTCTCCCCCCAGCTCAACAGGACCACACGGCCCTGCAAGGAATCCGTGCCGGGGAACGGCAGCGCCACGCTACGCCCTCCTCCCCTTAACCGCCTGGTGCCGTTGGCATGCCGAGCCTGGGCCGAAGCCACGTCTGCTGTTACGGGGACTCGCGAGCCAAGTCGGTGCCCGGAGACTCGGCCGCGTGGCACCCAGCGCTCTTGGGTCCAGCAGGATGCTACCGTTCGCCACGCGTCGCCAGTCTTCCAGTTATTACAGCATTAGCACGTGCTGCCTGCGGGGGGGGGCCAGCACCGCAGACTGCCTGTGACACAGAGGAAGAGAATGTGCGGGTGTGTGTGTGTGTGTGCGTGCGCAAGCGTGTTAGGGTGTTTTGTTAATGTGTAGGTCAGTGGTTTGTGCTTTGGACTATGATCCAAGCGAAAGGGGGGTTTGATTCCCAGCCACGGATGACATCAGCGGTAAGCGGTAACGGAACCTGCCCAGCTTATGTTGACTAAGCCTTAAATTAATATCTGACGAGGTCTGTGTGCCCAGCAGTGCCATATCGACCAGACAGAGGGAATGCTTCCCACCACACCACCCCTTCGAAAGTGCCAACAGAATCTGCCACTATGGTGTACACGGCTATGCAGGAGATATTTGACTTCGTTCGCGTTAAGGATTCCACACTCAGGTTCGCCCGTTACTTCTGCCCTTCAACCGTTTCTAAGCACGTGGATGAGGGAAAAAAAGGACATGGACAAAGAAAATAGAACAAAAGCTGAGAAGTGCGCATGAAAGTAAGGGTGAATGAACACGCTTACAATTCCACAGAGAGACAGCGCGAGGAACACATGGATCCGATGACGTCATGTTGAAAGTTCCACGCGTCACCTCAACCGTTGTTAAGAAAAGCACAGTGGGGGGGTTTGGGCAGGAGATGTCGTGAGAAGGGACGTCGGCCAGCGGTCGACGCTCGCCACTGTGGCAGCCAAAGCTGAAGAACTTGAAACCGGAGAGAGAACATTCACCGCGGAGATGGAGCGATGAAATCCGCCATCGCAAGAATGTGACAGATGGAGACAACCTTGGGGGGGGGGAGGGGGGTTTTGGAGTGGGGGGGGGGGGGCTTCATCCGACAGTGGCTAGATCGTGGCTGATGATTACTGGTTTTTACCACTGCATGGATCGGAGTCCGTAAACGCTGCTGCTGCTGCTGTTGTTGTTTTTGAGACACAAAAGAGGGCGCCGCCTTCCTGTAGGTCACTGCACACCCCCCTTCTCTCCCCAGAGAGAGAGGCTGGAACCCAATTAGCTCCCCCACCAAAACAAAACACGTTTCCGAATTTGAAAACGAGCGTTAAATGCCGAACCAAATTCGGGCACCGCATTGGGCGGCATTATAAAGCTCGTTGACGAAAAATTAAACGCGCGCCGTGGCCGCTACCATGGACGGCTTCCCAGGGCGTATCGTCACAACCGGATCGCACGTGCGGCAATTGCCAGTGACGGATCGTTCACAGAGGTAGCCATCATCCTGAAAGTAAACGATGAAGCGGAGAAAAGCAAAATCGTATAATTGAGATGGGGAGAAAAAATGTAAACAATCCCAAGCGAGATGATTTTCCCACCCTGCATCACCGGAAGAGAGAGTTCGTTTAAAATCTGTGCATTCGCTTTGAACATTTTTTTGTGACCAAATGTAAAACGCGCAGGATGCACCGTGCCAGTTGCTGTGTTGAGAATGCTCGCATCTGCCTTTTACCAAGTGTCGGGTGACCTCGGGGGAGAGAAAGACAAAACACGACGGACACACGCGGCCCGTGACTTCAGCGTTGGACACGGCTCCCAAACACGATGCTAGATTAGCGGGACACGAAAACCCCCACTCACGGACCAGCACGAGGCCACTTCACTCAACTGGCAGCTTCAGCACATGCGGTCGATTTTGTTTTTCCAATCCGAAGCAGCCAGAGTGTCTTCATCGCTCGAATGAAGTGTGGGCCAGTGCTCACGTCTGTCGGCTGTCAAGAGCCAGTACTGGACTTTCCACATTTACATGGGCGGTGCAGTGGTGACACTGCATGGAGTTTATATGTTCTCCTATTCTGCATGAGTTTGCTTCGGGTTCTCCGATTACCTTGGATAGATATCAGTTCTGTTTCGTCTTGTTACAACCATCTCGTTTGTGTTGTAATCGCGAAGTGAGACTGTTAAAGAATGGGGCCTCAACGTTGCACATTAGCGTATAATTTGCAGAAACAGCAAATAATCGATTCTCGCACGCATGATTCGATGTATTCATTTTGCAAGTAACAACTATTAATTTGCTGGATCGATGACATGACCCCCTGGTTTCTGCTAAAAGCTCGACCGCTGCACAACACTCGGTCCCCGAAAGCGGTTGTTGTTTTTTTACCTAATACCACTCGGCGCCGAGCGTGTGTGGATATTAATTTCACAAGCTTGGAAATTAAGTTCACAAATAAACACCAGGTGTTTAAAAAGGTACTCAAAGAGAAGCACAAAAAAACTGAACCGCTAAAAGTTTTACAAAAGCGGCCCTGTTCGGGGGGGGGGGGGGGGCGCACTGCACACTGCTCGACACGTCAGCGCAGACGGTGCATTCTTGACAGTTTCTCCACTTACATGGGAAGTTGGCTTTCATCGCGCGACGTGCGAGGAGTCCTGCATGGGTAACATTACAAAATAAACCCGTCCGGGAAAAAACCTGACCATCCAAGTCCGTACCGTGAACAGAGCGCACAAAAAAAAAAAACACTAAACATTCCTCGCTCGAGCGTTGCAAAAGAAGAAACCGCTGCATATCGATCAAATATAAGTGTTGGGCTTCAGCCAAGGCAGAGGTGCTGAGCGATGATGGGAGACGCCCTTCAGAATCTGAACACCCCCCCCCCCCCCCCCCCCCCCCCCCCCCACCCCCCCCCCCCCCGTATGTGCAGCATTCCGGCCAAAGCAGACGGCGACCTTGCGGACTTGTGTGATCAGCTGTCGCAGGGCTTTATAAACAGTGACGCGTCTCAAAATCAAAGCTTGCTTGGTGAAACTACATCTGCTGGGATAACAGATGATTGCTTTGTGGACGGACTGGTCCTTGTCAGAGGAATAGGGAATTACATTTATTTATCCAGGAAAGCCTCAACGAGACAATTATTCAGGAGGGTTCTGCATTCGGATGTTTGGGCAATTATATTAAGTCTGTTTGTCCCAAAGAGACACTCAAACCTAACTTCGAAATAATCTGCCTCGAATGTTTGCCATTCGGAGGACAACTTTGACAGGGAACAATAAATGGTTGCAAAGCACACCAACCAAGGGCAAACTCAGAATCCCACTTAGCTCCTTGCTCCATCCCCATGTCAGCTTTGGCCTCATCACCACCTCCTCCTCCTCCCCCCACATAACGCGTTACCAGGACGACCGCCGCTCCCACGTGCGAGCCCTGGCCGTGCCTCTTGCCCAGGCACGGCGCGGGCGCGCTCCGTTATGGAGCAGCTGGCGCGGTGACGCACACTGACACCGACGAGGTCTTCCGCTCTCTCTCTCGCACCCGTGCGGCCACTCGCTGGTGTAATCGCGCGGGAACATAACGCCGGCAGCGGCGGCGGCGTTGTCGAGGCGGGCACGCGGGGGGGGGGGGGGGGGGGGGCAAGATCAAACGCGCGCGCGTCGCCATGGTGAAAGTTACTGCTGCATGTTTTCTAGCGTGCATGTAAGCAGGCACAGGATACGCGTGTCGGTACTGCCACCGTGCACAGGGTTAACATATACTCGAATTCCTACCAAGTGAATAAGGCGAACATTCTTCAGACACGCAGTGTTCATCAAGGAGAACTAACTACGTTCTTCAAAGACACAATGGTTTCAAGCTGTTCATGGGCACATTACCGTAAAAAAAAAAAACATCCACGTTGCTGCGGTTTAAAAGAATGAGCGAGCCGGAATATTTGTAAAACCTGTACTGCACGCAGGCCATGTGGCAAAGCATTTGAGCGCACAGGCACGCAGCAACCACCGTGCCTAACGTGGGTCTAGACCTGCGCTGGTAGAAAAAACTAAATCCACACTGCCAAGTTGGGCTTCACGTAGAGGTCATTTAACGCATATAAATCAACTATTCCCAGCGCACAGCTGTGCATGCACGCATGCACCGTTTGCATCAGCGCCCAGAGAAAAGCAGCGCAAAGAAAGTGTAAAACAAAAAGAAGCCACTTTCACTACAGATCCCGCTCCCGGAGTCTGTGTGGCTCCCAGCAGCGGATAACAAGTCTTTACCCAGCGGGTGCCGAGTCAGTCCGAGCTCAGTGGAAACAACTTAATGGAATTTGGAAAGGATGAGATCACGGCCGATGACGCGGCACCGTTCGTTGCCCCCGCGGTTCAGAGGACGCCGGTTCCAGCGGGCGGATGGATGCGGCGAGCGTACCTTGTCGGCGAGCAGCTGGCGAATCTTGGAGGCCTGCGTGCGGAAACGGGACAGCTGGGCCTCCAGCGACAGGCAGCGCTCCTGCCACGCGGCCGAACACCCGGGGGAGCCGTCGCCTGTCCCGCGGCTCCCGTCCCGGTCGCCCGGCCCGCCGCCGTTGGCCCCCGTGGGCCCCACCGCCACGGCGGTCGCTCCCTGCTCGATGTCGTCAGGCGACATTGCCGAGTCGTCCAGCGCTTGCTCGTCCTGCGGCTCGAGCTCCCTCGCAGCGCTCTCCGCCATGCTCTCCCACACTACCACCTGCTCAGGATTTTCAAGTGGACAAGGGCGGCGATTGAAATTACGTGTCACTTGAACTGTATAAGTTCATCACACGTGTCATTTGTAAATGGTATCTAAATTACACTCATCCAGGTAGCTTGCAATTTGCGTCCAAATAACACGGGACGTGGTTATTCGCTGTAATTTTCACCCGGCGACATTTGCTGCGGTACATACGAGCGCGGTTCGCTCCGGCCCTACGGATCGGAATTGCGGGCGTACGATCGCGGCAATTTTGAGCAGCAAAACGAGACGCGCGTGGCGCTAGGGGTGGCAGGGGGGCGGGGATACGCACGCACGCACACACACGACACGTACGGCTTGGAAGAGCGGAGACGGCGCAGGGAGGGCGCCACGGCCGAGCTGGCCCAGAGGAAGCGTGCGCGCGCCTGGCCACAGTACACGAGCGACGTCACGCCGTCATCTCGCAAACGTCTTCGCCGAACGCCTCTCTCCTTGGCTGTTTTCAAAAGTTGGAGAGAAAAAAACCGAAGAGATTCCTCTTGTTTTTGTTCCCCCCCCCCCCGCCCACCACCACCAACGTTCAGCTATCGGCATCCTTGAAGGCCCTCTCCAGAGCCAAGCAGCTGTTTGTTTAACCGCGCTGCTCTGCACTTCACACACAATAACAGCTCACAACATTCATAACCCTTACGACACGCATCACTGCTCCCAGGACATGGGTTCCTTTTGTGTGGGAGCTATAAACGTTGGGCCTAAAAAAAGCAGGTCAATTTGTTTTCAGTGGAAAAGTAAACTCATTCACGCTTGCGCTATATATACAGTGTTACGTTATAACGTACGGTCACTCGGTCTAAGGTGGTTAGGCTGCGGGGTCACGTTGTGTTGGCGAGCACCGATGTACGGCCAGCACAGGGGACGTGATAGGGGTGACGGAGCCAGCACCAACCCGGGCTGCTTTGTGTATTTCCAGTGCCGATGGTTGCCCCACCGTACCGAGGATTCGATTTTGGGCCTAGTCTACCAAAAGCAAGTCCAGGCCAGGTTCACATTCCTATTGACAACACAATTATTCAGCATAGACCAGAAAATCAGGCCACGACATTGAGATCAAAGCGTGCATGTACTACCCACTCCGCTACGCAAAGGTATATAAACATCCACGAACAATGTAACTTCCACTTACCATTTCACGGAGCGTCTATATGCCACACGGTATGCATACAGTCCACGCATACAACAACTAGTAGTGGAAGATCTTTAATTATAAGAACGATGTTTACGGGAACTGTCATGCCAATAAAGTCCTGCGATCTCAACCGCTAAACCCTTGAAACCTAACATGCAGCCAGCGCGTGCACCCATCTACAGGCTGATTAAACACCAATCAAGCGGGGTTAAAGTTCGCGTCCCTTTAGGGGAGCGCCCGTAAAAGGTTGCCGCTTGCCACTGTGTAGCAGCAGTTCCACACACTCAGGACAATACGAATGGGGCGACTTAAGAGTTGGTGGGGTCGGTGAATCACGCAGTGACGGGGATCAACAACAATAACAACCGCAATTCGCCACTACGTGGCAGTGATGTCACCGCGTTGCTTGTGTCAGGCTAGGTGCACACACACACACAAGTAGGTCTGCCAGGATATGCAATGTCACGTTACGGCGTGCGACTGCTAATAATGCCCTTCATAAACACACTATTTGTGTTATTATACGAATTTTATTTTGAAAAAAATTCCCTTAAACGGTAAGCACAGCAAGCCAATCTCTGCCGGACGATGGCGACAGAGTCTGCGAGTTATCCCCTCGTATGCCGTGGGCTTTCTCCAGCGACTCTGATTTCCTCCAACACCAAACTAAACTACTCCAGGTGAAGCTGACAGAAACAAAACGCCACAACTTCCGTCTGCTTAAGAAGTAACACCCCCGGCCACACAAGTGACGACGATCAGGAATTCATTCTCCTCTTATCTCGCGTCCACTCGCTCCGTTTTTACATTTTTAACGTCTCGCTTGATCTGTATCGTGTGTACTGCCTCCACTTCATAGTTTCCACGGCTACGTGTTGACTATCTGCCATCTTCGTTTTGTTTGTACCGTCTCTCAAGAGTCCTGTCTCATCTGTACTGCCCGTCTCGTTCCTGTCTCGTCTGTACTGCCCGTCTTGTTCCTGTCTCATCTGAACTGTCCGTCTTGTTCTTGTCTCGTCTGTACTGTCCGTCTTGTTCCTGTCATCTGTACTGCCCGTCTTGTTCCTGTCTCATCTGTACTGCCCGTCTTGTTCCTGTTTCATCTGTACTGCCCGTCTTCTTCCTGTCTCATCTGTACTGCCCGTCGTGTTCCTGTCTCATCTGTACTGCCCGTCTTGTTCCTGTCTCATCTGTACTGCCCGTCTTGTTCCTGTCTCATCTGTACTGCCCGTCTTGTTCCTGTTTCATCTGTACTGCCCGTCTTCTTCCTGTCTCATCTGTACTGTCCGTCTTGTTCCTGTATCATCTGTACTGCCCGTCTTGTTCCTGTCTCATCTGTACTGCCCGTCTCGTTCCTGTCTCATCTGTACTGCCCGTCTCGTTCCTGTCTCGTCTGTACTGCCCGTCTTGTTCCTGTCTCATCTGTACTGTCCGTCTTGTTCCTGTCTCATCTGTACTGCCCATCTTCTTCCTGTCTCATCTGTACTGCCCGTCTTGTTCCTGTCTCATCTGTACTGCCCGTCTTCTTCCTGTCTCATCTGTACTGCCCGTCTTGTTCCTGTCTCATCTGTACTGCCCATCTTGTTCCTGTCTCATCTGTACTGCCCGTCTTCTTCCTGTCTCATCTGTACTGTCCATCTCGTTCCTGTCTCGTCTGTACTGCCCGTCTTGTTCCTGTCTAATCTGTACTGCCCTTCTCGTTCCTGTCTCATCTGTACTGCCCGTCTTCTTCCTGTCTAATCTGTACTGTCCGTCTTGTTCCTGTCTCGTCTGTACTGTCCGTCTTGTTCCTATCTCATCTGTACTGTCTGTCTTGTTCCTGTCTCGTCTGTACTGTCCATCTTGTTTCTGTCTCATCTGTACTGTCCATCTTGTTCCTGTCTCATCTGTACTGCCCGTCTTGTTCCTGTCTCATCTGTACTGCCCGTCTCGTTCTTGTCTCATCTGTACTGTCCGTCTTGTTCCTGTCTAATCTGTACTGCCCATCTTGTTCCTGTCTCGTCTGTACTGCCCGTCTTGTTCCTGTCTCATCTGTACTGCCCGTCTTGTTCCTGTCTCATCTGTACTGCCCGTCTTGTTCCTGTCTCATCTGTACTGCCCGTCTCGTTCTTGTCTCATCTGTACTGCCCATCTTGTTCCTGTCTCATCTGTACTGCCCGTCTCATTCCTGTCTCATCTGTACAGCCTGTCTCGTTCCTGTCTCATCTGTATTGCCCGTCTTGTTCCTGTCTCATCTGTACAGCCCGTCTCGTTCCTGTCTCATCTGTACTGTCTGTATTGTTCCTGTCTCATCTATACTGCCCGTCTCGTTCCTGTCTCATCTGTACTGTCTGTATTGTTCCTGTCTCATCTGTATTGCCCGTCTTGTTCCTGTCTCATCTGTACTGCCCGTCTTGTTCCTGTCTCATCTGTACTGCCCGTCTCGTTCCTGTCTGATCTGTACTGTCTGTATTGTTCCTGTCTCATCTGTACTGCCCGTCTCATTCCTGTCTCATCTGTACAGCCTGTCTCGTTCCTGTCTCCTCTGTATTGCCCGTCTTGTTCCTGTCTCATCTGTACAGCCCGTCTTGTTCCAGTCTTATCTGTACTGTCCGTCTTGTTCCTGTCTCATCTGTAATGCCCGTCTCGTTCCTGTCTCATCTGTACTGTCTGTATTGTTCCTGTCTCATCTATACTGTCCGTCGCGTTCCTGTCTCATCTGTACTGTCCCGTCTCGTTCCTGTCTCATCTGTACTGCCCGTCTTGTTCCAGTCTCATCTGTACTGCCCGTCTTGTTCCAGTCTCATCTGTACTGCCCGTCGTGTTCCTGTCTCATCTGTACAGCCCGTCTTGTTCCAGTCTCATCTGTACTGTCCGTCTTGTTCCTGTCTCATCTGTACAGCCCGTCTCGTTCCAGTCTCATCTGTACTGTCCGTCTTGTTCCAGTCTCATCTGTACTGTCCGTCTTGTTCCTGTCTCATCTGTACTGTCCGTCTCGTTCCAGTCTCGTCTGTACTGTCCATCTTGTTCCTGTCTCGTCTGTACTGTCCGTCTCGTTCCAGTCTCATCTGTACTGCTCATCTTGTTCCTGTCTCATCTGTACTGCCCGTCTTGTTCCTGTCTCATCTGTACTGCCCGTCTTCTTCCTGTCTCATCTGTACTGCCCGTCTTGTTCCTGTCTCATCTGTACTGCCCATCTTGTTCCTGTCTCATCTGTACTGCCCGTCTTCTTCCTGTCTCATCTGTACTGTCCATCTCGTTCCTGTCTCGTCTGTACTGCCCGTCTTGTTCCTGTCTAATCTGTACTGCCCATCTCGTTCCTGTCTCATCTGTACTGCCCGTCTTCTTCCTGTCTAATCTGTACTGTCCGTCTTGTTCCTGTCTCGTCTGTACTGTCCGTCTTGTTCCTATCTCATCTGTACTGTCTGTCTTGTTCCTGTCTCGTCTGTACTGTCCATCTTGTTTCTGTCTCATCTGTACTGTCCATCTTGTTCCTGTCTCATCTGTACTGCCCGTCTTGTTCCTGTCTCATCTGTACTGCCCGTCTCGTTCTTGTCTCATCTGTACTGTCCGTCTTGTTCCTGTCTAATCTGTACTGCCCATCTTGTTCCTGTCTCGTCTGTACTGCCCGTCTTGTTCCTGTCTCATCTGTACTGCCCGTCTTGTTCCTGTCTCATCTGTACTGCCCGTCTTGTTCCTGTCTCATCTGTACTGCCCGTCTCGTTCTTGTCTCATCTGTACTGCCCATCTTGTTCCTGTCTCATCTGTACTGCCCGTCTCATTCCTGTCTCATCTGTACAGCCTGTCTCGTTCCTGTCTCATCTGTATTGCCCGTCTTGTTCCTGTCTCATCTGTACAGCCCGTCTCGTTCCTGTCTCATCTGTACTGTCTGTATTGTTCCTGTCTCATCTATACTGCCCGTCTCGTTCCTGTCTCATCTGTACTGTCTGTATTGTTCCTGTCTCATCTGTATTGCCCGTCTTGTTCCTGTCTCATCTGTACTGCCCGTCTTGTTCCTGTCTCATCTGTACTGCCCGTCTCGTTCCTGTCTGATCTGTACTGTCTGTATTGTTCCTGTCTCATCTGTACTGCCCGTCTCATTCCTGTCTCATCTGTACAGCCTGTCTCGTTCCTGTCTCATCTGTATTGCCCGTCTTGTTCCTGTCTCATCTGTACAGCCCGTCTTGTTCCAGTCTTATCTGTACTGTCCGTCTTGTTCCTGTCTCATCTGTAATGCCCGTCTCGTTCCTGTCTCATCTGTACTGTCTGTATTGTTCCTGTCTCATCTATACTGTCCGTCGCGTTCCTGTCTCATCTGTACTGTCCGTCTCGTTCCTGTCTCATCTGTACTGCCCGTCTTGTTCCAGTCTCATCTGTACTGCCCGTCTTGTTCCAGTCTCATCTGTACTGCCCGTCGTGTTCCTGTCTCATCTGTACAGCCCGTCTTGTTCCAGTCTCATCTGTACTGTCCGTCTTGTTCCTGTCTCATCTGTACAGCCCGTCTCGTTCCAGTCTCATCTGTACTGTCCGTCTTGTTCCAGTCTCATCTGTACTGTCCGTCTTGTTCCTGTCTCATCTGTACTGTCCGTCTCGTTCCAGTCTCGTCTGTACTGTCCATCTTGTTCCTGTCTCGTCTGTACTGTCCGTCTCGTTCCAGTCTCATCTGTACTGCTCGTCTTGTTCCTGTCTCATCTGTACAGCCCGTCTCGTTCCAGTCTCGCTTGTACTGCGCGTCTCGTTCCTGTCAATAATATTCGCATTAATAAAAAAATAAGCGGTTGTCACAATCGCGATTCTTTGCACATATCGTGATCTTAACTGAGCGTAATCATGGTTCGCGAAAAGACGTCGCGTGACTGCAGCAGATGTTTATATATTACTGAACTGATTAATGATTAATCATTATGCGTATTAGCTTCCACGGATTCCCAAGTGCCTACTTTAGCAATGCACTGGTGGTCGCTATCGATTTCATAAGTTTAGACAAAGTATCCAAAGTATCTAAACCGCGGAATTGCCGCAGATTTCCAAAACGTTTCAAATTAACACGAGACACCGAGGCGGCTGCCGCGGATTTCTGAAGACCCACTCTTTAGCACTTGCCCATGGCCAAATCACCCGGAATGCGTCCGTCTGGTCGGATCTCGGAAGCTCAGCCACGGGGTGACCCTGGAGAACGCTCGGATGAGCGACCCGCCATGAATAAACAGGCGGCATGGGCTGCTACGTTGTCAGCAGAGGGCAATGCAGCGTCACACGTTGTTGTACTGTACTTGTATGTCCCGACGCCTATGTTCCTCGCCGTCATGCCGCAATATCCACCATGAAGTGCGTGTGGTCGACTACGCACAAACGACCCGAAAGGCCCTCCTCATCCAGCGGTGGATTATCAAGAGGGATGCACGTTGCCTCTCTGACACTGTGAAACACGTGTTGGCCGCGATAACCGCAGTGTGTAGCTTCCACGGATTTCCCAAAAAAAACCCTCTCTACTTTAAAAGTTTAAAATTGACGCAACCGCCGGGTGGCTTCCGCGGATTTCTAAAGACCTACTTCTTAACGAATTTTAAAGAGGCTGCCAAGCGCGCTCGGTCTGCACAAAGATTCTCCCAATATCGGTGGAGCGCAGCGGTTTGCGTACCGTGCCCTATGAACCTGGCCCACCTGAGTTCGACTTCTGGGCCACGGCTAACATCAGTGGCGAGAGTTACCTGAATGACCGACGCGGCGAGGGGAGGGGGGCCTTCATCCAGCGGCGGATTAACAAGACTCCGTACAGTTATCCGGCAATGCCAGCATCGTAATGTTCACGCGGCACATCAATATAAACAATCAATCAAACACACACAGAGTTGTCCGACTCGACGCAGCTCCCTCGCACATCGCCACCTCGAACCCGCTTAGAGCAGCAGCAGCAGATCGTCGACAGGACAGCAGCCGCCCGACTTACACCTTCACAGGCTCAAGCGCAAACAAACAACGCGAATTGCACCCCGAACGCTGGTCACAGCCCCGAGCGCCACGTTTGAAGCCTCCTCATCCTCCTCTTGATGATGATGATAATGATGATGATAAACATTCACACTTATCGTGGGGGGGGAAGAGGGGAAACGATTAAAAGTGCGACAAATCATTTGTTGTCCGTGTCGCGCAGCACGCCAGCAACGCGCTGCACGAGCGAGGCGAGGTCGGCGGCTGCGACGGGGATAGAGCAACGAAGCGTGGAGGGGTCCCAGACATCCACTTCGAACTTTTAATCTGTTTTTCTGTCTTTCTCTCTGTGTGTCTCTCTCTCTGTCTCCTCTCGCCCACCGACTTAGAAACCAGTTCCCTCCCCCCGCCCCGCGTGCTCCTCACACTCGCGCGCAGTTTGTTTCGTAGTCTCTGCCGTTGAAGAGAAAACGAGAGAGAGAGAATCGCCGATTCGCGAGCGGCGTGGTGCTGCTGGTGCTGGTGGTGCTAGGCAGGGGAACTCACGGCGGAGGGAGGTGAGGCCCGGGCGGGGTCGAGGCGGGGGAGTCCGCTGAGTCTGTGGCCGCCTCCACGGCGCGCGGCTCCGGCCCGTGCCCGGCTGCCCGCCCCCTTCCACGCCCACCCAGCGGCTCGCCCCGCCTCCTGCCCCGCCTCCATTATTCACTCGCCCCGCCTCCTGCCCCGCCTCCACTATTCACTCGCCCCCGCCTCCACTATTCACTTGCCCCGCCTCCTGTCCCGCCTCCACTATTCACTCGCCCCGCCTCCTGTCCCGCCTCCACTATTCACTCGCCCCGCCTCCTGCCCCGCCTCCACTATTCACTCGCCCCGCCTCCTGTCCCGCCTCCACTATTCACTCGCCCCGCCTCCTGCCCCGCCTCCACTATTCACTTGCCCCGCCTCCTGTCCCGCCTCCACTATTCACTCGCCCCGCCTCCTGCCCCGCCTCCACTTTTCACTCGCCCCGCCTCCTGCCCCGCCTCCACTATTCACTCGCCCAGCCTCCTGTCCCGCCTCCACTATTCACTCGCCCCGCCTCCTGCCCCGCCTCCATTATTCACTCGCCCCGCCTCCTGCCCCGCCTCCACTATTCACTCGCCCCGCCTCCTGTCCCGCCTCCACTATTCACTTGCCCCGCCTCCTGTCCCGCCTCCACTATTCACTCGCCCCGCCTCCTGTCCCGCCTCCACTATTCACTCGCCCCGCCTCCTGCCCCGCCTCCACTTTTCACTCGCCCCGCCTCCTGCCCCGCCTCCACTATTCACTCGCCCCGCCTCCTGTCCCGCCTCCACTATTCACTCGCCCCGCCTCCTGTCCCGCCTCCACTATTCACTCGCCCCGCCTCCTGTCCCGCCTCCACTATTCACTCGCCCCGCCTCCTGTCCCGCCTCGACTATTCACTTGCCCCGCCTCCACTTTTCACTCGCCCCGCCTCCTGTCCCGCCTCCACTATTCACTCGCCCCGCCTCCACTATTCACTCGCCCCGCCTCCTGCCCCGCCTCCACTATTCACTCGCCCCGCCTTCACTTTTCACTCGCCCCGCCTCCTGTCCCGCCTCCACTATTCACTCGCCCCGCCTCCACTATTCACTCGCCCCGCCTCCTACCCCGCCTCCACTATTCATTCGCCCCACCTCGTGCCCTGCCCGCCCGCCCAATTCACTCACCCCGCCTCGTGCCCTGCCTACCCCTATTCACTCACCCCACCTCGTGCCCTGCCTACCCCTATTCACTCGCCCCACCTCCTACCCTGCCTCCCCTATTCACTCACCCCGCCTCGTGCCGTGCCTACCCCTATTCACTCGTCCGGCCTCATGCCCGGCCTTTCCCATTCACTTACCCCGCCTCGTGCCCTGCCTACCCCTATTCACTCACCCCGCCTCGTGCCCTGCCTACCCCTATTCACTCGCCCCACCTCCTACCCTGCCTCCCCTATTCACTCACCCCGCCTCGTGCCGTGCCTACCCCTATTCACTCGTCCGGCCTCGTGCCCCGCCTCCCCTATTCACTTACCCCGCCTCGTGCCCTGCCTACCCCTATTCAATCTCCTGCTTCCTTGCTCATGATCCGCCTCTTTCTCCACTTAACCTCCCTCTCAGACCCACATCTTTGAGAGAGGGCCCTTGCCTATAACAGACAAAAATCTAAACACATTCGTCAATCACACTGCCTTAAAAGTACAAGTATACTTCGCCGACGACGTGCCTATCAACATCACGCGGTTCCCCAACAAAGGCGACTGCTGATGAGACGCCGCGTGTCGAAACCGGCCCTGAATTGTGTTCATATTGAATCCCATAAGGAAAGTGGGCCCCTGATGGGATGTTGTAATACCTTTAGAGTTTAGTTGTTTTCATTTATTTTCTTGATTTTTTTTTACCTACGTGACTTTACCGAAAAAACCAAAGAGTACCTTTAGAGTTGTATATATATAATCACCTAGCGGTCGGTCGTTGGCCAATTATTGCAGCGGCATACCGTTCGAATCCAGCGGCTGCCCTGATTAACACTGCGGGTGTAATAACATCCTAAACACGCTCTTATCCGTTTTACGGTGAACGCTCAAGGTCCCGTGGCTTCATTCGCAAAAGTAGGACGTTTGCGTGTCGGTGTCATCGTCCAAATGTTGTTAAATTTGACAAATTATCCGCAATTACTCAATTGGAGTCTACATATACTGTACGTTCCACTCGTCTCTGTTTCTGTGCCTGTTGTTGTAACGTTCTGACCCGCTCCCTCTGGACATCTGCGAAAAATAACTTTAGGGGCCGTCCATAAATGACGTCACGCGATTTTGGACGATTTTTAACCCCCCCCCCCCTCGTCACACGGCGTCACAAAAAGTCAGACCCCCCCTCAAATATGACGTCACAAAGCTCTGCCCCGCCCCCAAAACCATATTTCCATTTTGAAAATGAAACACGCTTCAAATTGCTTTAAACTATTGTCATTGTAGTGCGTATTTAATGTGGCGCTGCACTCTGATGTTGTAAGAGTGTTGTTATAACAATTAGTGTTCTATATTTATTTAAAGTGGCGCATTTTGATGTGACGTCACATTTCTCAACCCCCTCCTCGTCACACATCGCCTCAAATGTCTCACCCCCCCAGGTGCGTGACGTCATTTATGGACGGCCACGTACGAAAAAATTGAGCAGAGTATCTTGTGTAAATTGAATGGCAGTGAATCTTGCACCAAAGTAGTCATCAAACACTTCACTGCAGTTCACTGTAGCACTGTATATAACTGACCTTCAATTTGTTAAAATTCACTGCTCTGATACTTTATTCTCTTCTGCTTTCGGTCGCTGGGGTTGAAATAAATTGAAATCGATACAATATCTGGGAAATCACCGAGAAACGTCTATTTTACCATAATGTAGAAGCATGAATTAGACTTACCTTCTGTCTCAAGTGCTGAAGAAATAAATCAAGACACCAGATCGACTTTGTTGCTGCGTATAACTATTTATGAGGTTCACTTTCAATAAAGAAACGTGAAACTTGAAGCGAATTTGCGAAAAAAATATATTTCCGCGTGAGTGTAAAAATCCACCCGCTCATGAATATTAATGACGTGGGGGGGGTGCGACATGTGGAGTGACGTCACGCGCGTTACACACAGACATTCTTGGCTCATTATCGGAGTAACTAGAGGTTCATATTCTTAGCTCTTTCGGTAAAGTCACGTTGAAGGGAAACAACAAAACAATCAAATATATATAACAATAAAAAATTCTCACGACGTTTTATATATATTTTGTTGTTTCCCTTCAACGTGACTTTACAGAAAGAGCTAAGAATATGAATTACTGCAGTCACGAAAGTTTTAAATAAAAAAATAACTAGAGGTTGTTCGGGGGCCCATGTGATGCCCCTCGCAAACATTTACGGCTTTCGGCCAGAAAAGTCACGAAAAAAGTTACACACGAACGACGCATTCACGCAAGCACCCGATGCTCCGTTTTGAAGTTTTAAAATGAGACGTATTTTGAATTGTATTATGTTTTGAATTAAATATATTTTTTATTCATTAAAAGCTTGTATCATTATACATCTGGAAGACTTCATTGAAAAGGACATTTTGTGTGAATTTTCTCTCGTCGTTAAGTAAATGGCCTTGCTGGGGGTTCTGTTTGGGATTGCGGGATCGAGATTAGGGGCCGTCCATAAATGACGTCACGCTCCTTGGGGGGAGGGGGGAGGGGTCAGACATTTGTGACGATGTGTGACGAGGGGGGGGGGGTTGAGAAATGTGACGTCACATCAAAATGCGCAACTTTAAATAAAGACAACACGTTCTACTTAATTAAACATATTTATAATAAATGTTTTCTCCTACAACATCAGAGTGCAGCGCAACATTAAATACGTGCTACAATGGCAATAGTTTAAAGCGATTTGAAGCGTGTTTTATTTTGGGGGGGGACGGGGCAGATCTTTGTGACGTCATATTTGAGCGGGGGGGGGGGTCTGACGTTTTGTGACGCCGTTTGACGAAGGGGGGGAGGGTCAAAAATCGTCCAAAATTGCGTGACGTCATTTATGGACGGCCCCCAAGGCGACATCGAGCTAGCCGTGCGAGAAGACCGCCGTCTGCAGATCGATTCGAACGTAATGGAACGTCTGTGTCTGCGCCTCCGTCGTTCATGCAGGGGGCGCGCGTAGGTTTGTAGCGCCCCCTGCAGGAAAACGACGGGAAGTGATAGCGTTCATCACAACTTTATCATCAGAGAGAGATAAAGTTGTGCTCTTATATTCTACAAGCACTGCAGAAGTAATGGTTGAGGGGCAGGGGGAGGGGTCCACCGCTTCCTTTGCCCCCCCCCCTCATCTTCTCTATACTTACACCCAGTCACGAATGCCCTCACATATGGATAGGCGACCTAATTTCATTTGCCCATTGTTAACGTAAAATTTGAAATGCGTAATTTTAATTATGAATGGAGATTGGAAGCTGCCGTGCACATTTTTGTCCGGCAGAAATTAACATTTACATTTTAGACGCCGAGGAGCAGCAATGTTTTTTTCTTGGTTTGAGCCGTTGCAGCAGACACGATTCCCAAAGTTCAGAAGAAGCAGAATATTTACTTATATTGCACTGGAGGAATCCGATGAGCTACAAAGCTCTTTTTTCACCCCACCCCCCCTCCTCGTCACACGGCGTCACAAAGCTCTGCCCCCCCCCAAAATAAAGCATGCTTCAAATCTCTTTAAACTATTGTCATTGCAGTGCGTATTTAATGTGCCGCTGCACTCTGATGTTGTCGAAGCAAACATTTATTATATTAAGTAGAACGTGTTATCTATATTTATTTAAAGTTGCGCATTTTGATATGACGTCATATTTCTCACCCCCCCCCCTCTCGTCACACATCGTCACAAATGTCTGACCCCCCCTCTCCTAAGTGCGTGACGTCATTGATGGACGCCCCCTATACGCCGCGTGGACGTGAAAACTAAACTTTCCCTATACACGAATACGGCACAAACCGTATGGGTTGACAGGCGGGGTGTGGGGGTGTGTGGGGTGCGTCTTATAATCCGGACAATGCGCTCAATTTCTGGCGTCGATGGTATGGGGGGGGGGGCTCTTGGGGGAATCTCTGAGCCACGTGCGCGCTCGCGCACCGCGAGCCACGTGACCTCGCCTCTACTTCCGGGGCGAGGGGCGTCTCGACGCACGTGCGGCGATCGCGACTCCGACTCATCAGCCACCGCCGCCGCCGCCACCACCACCACTCAACCACGAACTATCACCCGCTTCCATCATCGTCATCCTCCTCCAACATCAGCGCCAGGATGGGCCGCAGGAGGAGAGGCGGCGCCGCGGACGTGGGTGCCATTGAGATCGGCGCCCGTGAACTGGAGCTGTTAGCGAGTGAGTACAGCAGCGACAGCAGCAGCAACTAATTAACTCAACTCCACCCGTCCTGTTTCATTGTAATCGGTTCACTCGCACGCAGTCATTGAGCGTTTTATTCGTGCCGCGACCACCACCACCACTACTAACTACTACTACGACACAATGCCCACAGTACGGGTTCAGTCACAGGGTGGTTGATGGTGGCGGTGTGAGCGATCCCACATGACTGATGCTCGATTAGCTCCCGTGCGTTCACCGATTGATTAAAAATGCGATTAAAAAAAACCACGACGAGCTCGCGTAGCGCCGACGCACCGAGGACACGTCGCCGACTCTCAAGGCAAAGGTCCCCCGTGTAGCCCGAACAGTCTATTGGGGCAAGTGCTGCGAGCGAGTAGCAACCGATGAAGGCCGGCAAGGCACACGAGGGGGGTGGGTGGCCAGCCCCACGCCCGGCCGCCTTTGTCACCCCCCCCCCCCCCCACCGTGGCAATTACGTTACACACCGCTACCAGGTTACTCATTTGAGGCCGAGTCAACCTAGGCGAGGCTCGGGACCGGTTCGGATAATTAATCGTCGCCGGTGTTGGTGACCGTGAGCGGGGTCACCGTCCTGAGAGAGAGATTTGATTAATAAAGACTTCAAAGTTACTCTCCGGCCGGCGCCTTCGATGCACTGGTGAATTAATGAACTTAAAACAACAACTACATCGATGCGGTGGAGGAAGATCTAATGACGAGGCCGTTGGTGATAATTCGTGGGAATGTCATAATGACGTGCTTTTTCATAATTGTGGAAACGTAATAGCGATCAGTGAAGTATGGTCAAACAGACCCCCCCCCCCCACCTCCTTGGCGGAGACTTCATCGAGCAGTGGATTAACAGGCTTGTGCACAATCACACGTTACAAGAATTTTGCCACGTGGCAACGCGCATCTTCAACCTGTACCATCACCATCGTAATACGATGGCGAGACGGATGTGGTGACTTCGAGGTACGTCATTCACCCCACTTTCACAGTGTTTTACAATCGTCATCATCAGCCATCATCATCACCCTGCCAAATCCAGTCTTTATTCACGTCGGGAGGTGGCGACAACCCGTGAAGACAACCTCGTGCACGTGGGTCTCGTGTGTCACGTCAGTTGCCACGGTTACGCCACAGGCTACGGTACGGTGCGAAAGAAGTTCGACGTGAAAGGGGGAAAACTCAAGTTTTGCAATAATATTATGCTTTTTGGTTTTTAAATCAGAACCTAATTTTTTTAATTGAACACGATACAAAGTAAAATCACAGCTATTGCTCCCAGGTTCCGAATTGGTCATTCGGAATCGTCACCGTCATCGTGAAACCGCGTGTTTGGTTGCACTGCGTAACAGAAACATATATTTTTTTGTTCCTGGGTAGTAAGTGTTATTTCCTAATCGCTTATGCCTCAAAAGTACAGAAAATGGCTATTCCCCACAAACGTTGCTTTTGTGACGAGGACATTGATATTTTGAAATGTTCCTATTTTCAATGAGAAAACGTGGTGAGCATTTGTGTCTTTGCTGCACGTGAAGTCCTGGTCACAGGAGGCGTAAGCAATAAAAAAATAACACTTACTACCCAGGGACAAAAATCGTGTTCCATCCTGCTGTCATTCGAAATAAATTCGTGCGCCCTCTTGTGAGTGAACATGGTCATTGCTATATTCTTAGTTTTTTCGGTAAAGTCACGTTGAAGAGAAACAACAAAATAACAAAATATATATATGTTGTTTCTCTTCAACGTGACTTTACCGAAAAAACTAAGAATATGAATTACTGCAGTCACGAAAGCTTTAAATCAAAAAATGGTCATTGCTATTAGTCCCACAGTGGGCACCGTGTCAATCGCCCCCCCCCCCCCCAAGTCCTTTGGAAAATCAAGTTCAATAACACATTATTTAGTGGTGGTGGTGGTGGTGGTGATGATGCTGCTGCGTTGGCAGTGGCGCTCAGGCACAATTAAAAAAAAACTCAACACATTAGTCAACAATGCCGCCTTTAAAGAATCAGAATCCGATAGAATTGGCGACGTTTCAGGCATGGGCCATTCTTCGTTGGTCCGTGTGCCATGAAGAAGGGTCGTTGCTCGTAACGTCACCAATTATATTGATTTATTTTAAGTAAAAGTGGCCCCCGCGGTGACGAGATGTTAACGGCCTCGCCTGGTTGACAGGTCGTGGGTTCGATGCCGACGCTGGCGCCTGCTGTATATTTGGAGTCTGCGTGTTTTCCCCCTTGGCTGCGTGGATTTTTCTCCGGGTCAACCTCCGGTTTTTCCCTCCACATTTACGTGACTTTACCGAAAGAAACCGAGAATAAGCAACAACAAGTTTAGCGTATTCGGCTGCTATACATTCCCACGTGATAGAGCAAATGCGTTGAGCTTTCATTTGTGGCCAGGTCGCTTCTGAAAAATAGCTCTACAGCTCGGTGTGCCTTACCTGGTAAAATAAAATAGTTAAATTTTTTTTGCATAGTTTTATGGTACAGACGTGACGTCTAAATCGCAACCACATCTCAAGGGCTTTTTCAGCGGAGCGGCGCTTGAGTTTATGGATGTGCGCGTCGTGGAAGGTGAAGTTACGACTGCATTGGTGTGTCCTGGCTGTACATACGAATAAAAAAAGACTGACCTTGAGTACACGAGACCCTTGGCGTATTTCTCGTACACCACGGACACCTGCAAAGTGGCGCTGCATTCACGCAAAAGTGCATGACGCTGTCGGAGAATGAATCGCGAAACTGATCGTCGTACTTCGCTATGTCGGTCAGGTGGCTCGGTGGAAGAGTGAGAAGCTCCCAACCGAAAGGTTGAGAGTTCAGATTTCCAGTTTGGGGGTTCACCCAGCCCATCATCCATTCGAGGTCGACAGTGGTTGCCGCATGGATAGACTCATCCCCGCCATAAAAAGTGGAAATTCCACCGCTGACTTAGAGCTGTGCACGAGAGATGAGCACTGCCTCAATGCTCATTTGAGCAGAAAATCACTTTGACCCTTTCTTTTTGATACTCCTCTACACTGGTTGACCAGTGGTAGCTGTACGACGTTCACGTGGAATTGCAACGTTCTGCCCTAGTATTTCAAGAGTCTCGTCACAATGCCGTTGGTGCCACCACACATCGCCATCGCTTCCTTCCTTCTGCCAGATCCTGCAGCTGTTGCAGAGTGGACACCCAACATCCAAGGTCCACTCTTGCAGTCTCAAAACCACCTCCATCAATTTGCTTAGAGGTCTTCCCCCTCGTTACTACACAGTCGATACATCGTCACTTTAGTGCCCATCTTGGTAACCTGCCCTCCTCCACCGTGCGTACGCGTTCCTCCCAGCGCGACTTCCTCTCGTCAAGGTGTAACCGTGGAGCGGGTGTCATCAGTGCGGCCCCCACTGTTGTTCCAGCACTGGCGGACGGCGCCGCTGGAGATGGCGAGGCTGCAAGAGCTGTGCTGGATTGCGTGCAGCTTGCGGATGGCATGGCGCAACTGGCGCAACTCAAAAAGGTGCGGCCTCTTTTAAATGATCGAAACAATACGACAATAATGGTAAGTAATCCAAATAAATGTCGCCTACGTGAACGAGTGCTTTGCTTTGTGTTTGAGAGAACTGACGTACCCAGAGAAAGCCGCCCGTGCATAACCTGCGGACATTCTTGCCGTGCCGCCTTCTGGCCACCGAGCAACCCGGCGGGTTTGGCAGTTTTACAAATCTGCGTGATCCACCAACCCTTGTCTCAAAAGCATTGGACAACAGGCGTCCGTCATACGGCCCGAGTTCGTTTCCTATCTGTGCCTGGCATCGATGGCCAGCGACAGCTGAACCAGTCCTGGGCCCCTCCGAGGTCACAAACCTGCACCGACCAGCATGGCTAAGTTTGGTGAAACAAATCCCCACAACCAAGGGGTGTGGGGAGGCCTTCATACAGCAATATATTGACAAAGGACTGTAAATTATCTACTTTTGTTATTTATAAACGTACACACGTACACAAAACACATGAACATGCACACACAAAAGACAAAGATTCCCTGTATAGCCTGACTGTTGGGGCAAGTGCTGTTAACGAGAGCACCTATGAAGGCCGGCATGGCACATGAGGGGGTGGGTGGCCAGCACCACGTCCAGCCGCCTTTGTCTCTCAAGTGGCGATGTTTACACACCGCACCAGGTACTTATTTGAGGCCGAGTCGACCTAGGGGAGGCCCAGGACCGGTTCAGATAATCGTCACTGGTGGTGACCGTGAGCGGGAATCGAACTCGGGTCACCAGGTTCGCTACCGCTCCCCACACATGAACGTACACACACAACTCCATGCTGCCTGTAGGGGGCAGTGCAAGTTTCTGATTTCGTCAACAGCATTGGTGCCCATCCTCTGTGGACCCGCTGGACTGCCACTGCCAACCCTCACGAGTTTTTGCGCGGACCGTCGTGCGCCGACAGCATACTTATAAAAAGTTAAATTTCTCCAAATGCTAGTGTCTGCAGCAGTTTGACGGAACACTTCCCACAAGCCTTGCGGACCACAGGTTAGGGAACCACGGTGGAGCTTGTTCTTCTCCAGTAAACGTGGGCTTTCCCCGGACGTTCGAGTTACAGGATACTCTAGAAACTCCCTTCCCGTGGGCGTCGATGAGGTGCCATACTCTGGCTCGCAAGGAGAGGCTGGTACAGCATCATGATGTTAATTACCTCGCCTGGTATACAGGAGATTGAGGCTTTGATCCCGACCCTGATGCCTTATATTTGGAGTTTGCATGTTCTCACCGTGGTCATGTGGATTTTTCTCCGGGTCCTCCGGTTTATCCCGCAACATTTAGAAACGTGCGCCTTGGAGTATTTGGTTGCCATACATTTCCGCTGTTGTATATGAGCCTTTTCCAAAATTGATATTAACAATAATATTTGCCATTATATATATCATATTTTTTTTTAACAAACGAAACAAAATAATTAATAAAACCCGTAAGCCAGGCACACAAAAAACCAGGTGTCGGCCATAAACAGGCTATTAATAAATAAAGAAATAATAAAACTCTCGAGGCGAGGATGTTAGCAGCTATCTGCGAAGATCTCCAGATGAACAAGAGTTTGATGTGCCCTAAGGGAGGTCAAGCAGAGGGAAGCCCTCCCGCAAGCCAGAAATGAGGACGCCCACGGGTTAAACTATTTTTTTTTAAACAACGGTTCAAATTTAAAATGCAATAACAAGAATGAGCTAAAGTTAGCGGTCCTCGCGCTCACTCCAATCAAGACCAGGCCACCAGATACATCAGTGAATTATTATCCAATAATTAATTCGCTATCAAATGATTTTCACCTTTAATACTTTTACTGTTAAAACAAAGCTTGGAGACAAAATACCGAGTCACATCAAAGGTTATCGAGAAGGAATGAGGCGAACGGGCAAACTTACGAAAGAGTTTAAACAATATCCCAAGCAACCCCGACCATCTTTGTCTCTCTCACAGCGCGGAGAAGCAGGAATTACACCTTATCACAAGGGGCCATCTGGAAAAGCCAGCCGTGTTTGATGAGGAGACACACCCCACCCCACACACGGCAACCAGACAAACAAGTTTTAAAGAAATTGCAAAATAACATTAACAATAATGTGTTAACCTTAAACGATATTCCATTATAGAACCTTACAGAACCAAGGGATATGGATTCCAACAATCTGGAAACGGACCTCTTAAACTCAGGATGAAAATTATTTTTCTTTTTAATAATTCCATCATAACATTTCGAACCTCGGTAAACCGAGAGGTGTCGGGAGGACGTAGTTACAAACACGAGTCGTGGCGAACATGGGACCAAATGGTATTTGAGAAATATAAGTCGAAAGTATAAAGAGATAGGTGCTCCCGACCACCTTTGTCTCTCCCGAAGAGCGCGAGAGAGGAATTTCACGCCAGGGCAAACAGATCGTTATCGCAGGAGCCATCTGTACACACACACACACGAACTCACACACACAGACCCCGCCCCCCCCCTTGTCCACTGCGCAGAGAGAATTGTCTTTGAATATAACGGTCAGCCGCATTTTTCAAAAGGCCAGTGAAGTTAAGTCAAGAGTCAAGACGTCCACAGGACGAGCAGTCGCATGGAGCGGCTGGCTCCTAGCCTCGCTGAGTAGCGAGGATCGCTGAGTCGCGATGTATCAACAAAAGTGAGTCATACAGCAGTGGAGGAAACCTGCTGTCAGCGAACCAGCACGGGCGCGTTCGCGCACTTCAACAGAGAGAGCACGTGCGACTCAACTCACTCAACTGAAGGAAAAGCTTGGGCAGCCGCCAACAACTTCAGCAAACCAGTGACCAAGCGCGTGCGACTTGAGTCATACAGCAGTGGAGGAAACCTGCTGTCAGAGAGCCGCCAACAACCTCAACAAAGAGAGCGCGTGCGACTCGGCTCACTCAGCAGAAGAAAAACTTGACCTGTCGCTCGCGAGCGCAGCGTCAGATAATACAGCAGCGGAAAGAGCGCGCGCCGGCGTAGCTCATCCAGCAGTGGAGGAAACTGCTGTCAGCGAATCAGCACGGGCGCGTTCGCGCATCTTCAAGGAGAAAGAGCGCGGCCAGCAACGCCAAGCAAGAGCGTGCAGCAGCTCAGCCAGCAGTGGAGAGAAACTGCTATCAGCGAATCAGCACGGGCGCGTTCGCGCATCTTCAAGGAGAGGGAGCGCGCCACCAGCGTGCCATCAGCACCATCACCAGCGCGTGCCAACAGCGCGCCACCAGCGTGCCATCGGCACCAGCGCGTGCCAGCAGCGTGCCACCAGCGTGCCACAGTGCGCAACTTCGCGTCACCAGCGCTGAGAGGGCAGCGGCCCCGCACTCAACACCCATCGGCGCGACGACGGCGAGCGTCGTGCTGACTCATCCAGCCAGCGGTGGACAGAAACTGGCAGCCGGTCGTATGCAACCCCTCCTCCACACTCTCCCCCTCACTCCCCCACCGCGCCGCAACACACAGGAAACACATTTTGGACACAAGAGATGCTAACCTCGGCGTCTGCTTTACGCAAAGAATTGAACCAGTGATAAAGAAGACACACGATACGCATATCGGGATAATCAAGAAGGGTGCCACTCCAAGGTGGTGCATTAAAAATAAATTCATAAAGGAAAATACTGCTGTCATTGAGTTGCATAATAACCAATCGTCCTGTTAACAACGTGATACGAATTGACTTGAAGGTCTATGAATGGATGTGGTACTGTGTGGGCAATGTTTAAACACGAATTTACATATTATAAGGTTAAGGTTTTAATAGAATAGTTGCATGTTTTAATCTCTCTCTCAACAACCGATTGATTGCGTTACGCGTCGGGAATTAACCACAGGTGCCGCTATCGAGGTGAAACAACGCAATCGTGATGGTATCATGTTAACGCTGTGTTGAAATTCCAAGGTCGAGAGTTTTCATATTATCCAAAATTAAAGTTAGCTAGAAAATAAAATTGATCAAAGCAGAAGGTTTGTGTGTGATTCTTCCTGAAATCCTGCATAATATTGTTCTGCGTATGAGATCTGAATCCTGGGGACCTATCATAAGCACACTATCACCACACATAATCCATAACACACATAATTCGTAATGTTCAATCGAGAGTAATCGTATCCTTATCGATAATACGGAATTAAAGAGCAGAGTCGAATCGACTCTCTCTCATTCACGCTCACAACGTCTGCGTCACTGCATACGATTAATTGCGTCATTCCAATTCATAACACAATCCTAGTCACCGAGGCTCGACCTGATAATCCATAACGACCTGCATTATCATAACCACGCCCACTCGCATAAATTAATACAATTATCTCTCGAATCAGCATAATTTATGCGCATAATTACACTGATTAACATAATTTCGGATAAATTATGCAAATCTCAAATTTCATTTAATTTTCATTATTTTCATCAATTTTCATAACACCTATATATACAACATATTGGGCGCGTCGTCCGGGATCTCTCGCAGACAGTTTATGCTTGAATTAAGGAACAAATCACTGTTGTATTAACCAAGGTTTTATGATCTAACGTTACCCTGTGACTGTAACGGGTGTAAAACAAACAAAAAAAACGCACTCTGAAGGGAAATTCCAGAGTAGCAGGGTATAACAAAGACAGTTGAAGTAAGATTATTTGCTCGAGTCAAACTGACCACATCCTGTGATACAAGTGTTTTTATACGTGCTCTGAAGGGAATACCAGAGTCACACGAGTCGAACTGATGCATTCTGGATACAACTGTTTTGATATGCACTCTGAAGTGAAATTCCAGAGATGCTCGTATTAAGAGTAATTTTTGAGTGGATTGCGGGATATTGGGAACTTGTACCAAAAAGGTCAGGCCGATCTGCTACAGAGCAAACAAATCAGGGAGACACATGGAAGGGGAGCTGTATTGATGACATTGGGACACTGCTTAAGAACTGGATAAAATGGGAGAAAAGCGAACACGATGTAAAAACATCAGGAATAGCTACGCTGAA